CAGTGCGTCCTAAGTAGCCAGAATCTCGTGCTTGTGAAAAACATATCAGTTTTCACGAACTGTGAGGCCAAGAATTCTCTTCAAGTTTCAGTGAAACTTTTGTCTGAAAAAAGGATTGCAGGAGAGGTTTTGCAGCCTGCTAGAAACACCTGTCTCATATCTAATAGGTTTTCTTTGATCCCAGGTTATTTTGTCTCGTGAGAAAAAGATATGAGCGTTAGATGTAAAACAAATACACCCATTTACTTAGAAGTACAATATAACAAATATTAGTCAGAAACATTCGTTTTCTTTAGACAATATGGCATTTCTTCCCTTCAAGGATATACTTGTGGTGTAGTTTTCTTCGTCAGAAAAGCATGGCTAAAATGAATCTACTTTGGGTTGTCATGGGATTGCAGCAGGTGTAAGGACAATTATGCCTCCCGCCACCCATCCAGCTGTGTTGTTTGCTACCATACTAAATATTGACGCTGATCCTGAGGCATCTAAGCAGGCTGCTGGGGAACCAGCGGCAAGCTGAAAGGCGCGAATCCCTGTCTGGGCAACTGAAAATCAGCTGGGAGCACAGCAGGAACACTACTAATGCAACACAAGTTGCAAGCAAGTTTCTTCTCTGGAGATGGGTACAGCTTTCACGTCTTCAGTTACAATTTCCAGCATTCAGAAAACTCAGATTTGTACCAATTTGTACTTGGCATATATGTTTTATATTGTTTTTGCAGTGATAATATCTTTTTTGCCTTGAAATGAGAGTCACGAAAACAAAAAGGCAGCTCTGGGGAAGAATTATCAAAACACTGTGCTATGTTTTTCTTATTTCTAAACACTGAGTAACATTTACGTTACAAGCAAGGAAGCCGAAACATGCAACTAGTAAAAAGAAGAGCTGGAAATGGCAGAACGTAGAAAGCTCAGAAATGCAGAAGTTTTTCCTAACGTTTACCCATTCGAGAAGACCGAACGCTTTGACACAAGTTGAACAGACTTTGCCAGCCAGATCGTTTGAAGTTGCATTGGCTCCGTGACAAAGCCTGCCCTGGCATTGTTTTCTGATCAAAGCGAGCACTAATGACGTTCAACCTGAGATGTGGTCTGAAATGTTTTCCTCCCTCAGCCGTCACTTTTCTACATCACTAACAGCTTATTTTTGAGCCACTGCAGTATGACGCTCTGCTAATTTACAGCACGGTTAGACTTTGGCTTCAAGTAGTAAGAACTGATTTTCACATATATTCTCCTCTGCTTCGTAAGGAGACAGTAGCTTTTGCGTATATTATGGCTGCGCAAAAGAAGGTTGCTTACAGGGTACAGTAATTTTTAGTTTCTCTTGCTTCCAATGATACAAAACAAAGGGGAAGCGGGAGAGCTTTAGAAATTTTTGGATTAAGCTATTGTGCAGCACAATACTTAAATGTGTCTTTAAAACTAAGCATATGTTTATGTTCCTTTTTTAAAGCACGTAGACACGGAGTGACTGTGGCTATAGCAGGATATGACTGGGTTTCCCAAGTAGCCCATACAGGAATCTTGCAAAGGGCAAGATGCTGCACATTTTTGTAGTTCTGTTCACTAATATCTGTCTTTGCTTTCACAAATAGTAAATGGCTCTTTTAATTTCAAAAAAAGTAAAGTTGATTAACTATTATGAAATCACACACCAGATGCCCATAAAAATATAGCTACATTGACAGCAACTGATGCACAATAGAATTAAGTAACTTCATAACTTGAGTCGTGATTTTTTTTGGTGCTACTTCCTCTGCTCGGATCCATCCCAGAGCAATTTACAGAGTGTTTTCAGAGAAAGTTAAGGGCTTATGCATTTTTATTTTGCTTCACAATCTATATTGTCCACTGCAGTTACTATTGTTGCTGTTGCAATTCAGATTTCTCTTTTGCTAACTTTGACTGCAACTATATTTCATGCCCACCAGAGCGAACAGGAGAAAGTGCACCAGTCAATGATATCACATGCTGGGTATAGCTCCTGCAGTCAGACCTACCACCTGTCTTTAAATGATTTAGTGTGGCCTGGCGCTTACTGTCTCCTTGGAAGAAAGCAAGCCAAGCAGACTCTTCTTATAGTTTTTGAGAAGCTGTCATTAGTTTAAAATTATTTAGCCTTAGTAACCACTCCATCTTCACTTTAAGGAACGATGGCCCTTACCTAAGGCAGTGAAGACAGATTCCCGTCAAATCTGCAGTAGACGTCAGGGATGGATGAGAAGACTTAGAAGAAAACAACTGTTTCAAACTTTCGCGCAGCACAACTCAAACTGAATTTATTTTAAAGTTCTGAAACATCCAAACACATTTTTACTCCCTTCTGGTTTCCAGATGGGTCTGCATCCAGAATGTCAAAATACCACAAAAATGCTGCTTTTTTCCTGCTGCAATCGGGAGCAGCTGCAACAAAAGGCTACAGAAAAGCCTGATTCTTAGAAAATGTGTCTCTTTTTTTTCAAAATAAAATAAGTTTAGATCATTTGAGTAAACATTGCAGGGGCATCTAAACATTTAGAAGCACACCAAGACACACATTTCAAACCCTTGGAAGCATATCTTTCACTAGACTGTTTACTCCTTAAGGAGGGAATTGAGTGCTCCAGTGGGTAAAAGTCAAGAGACAGGATTCAGCTTTCCAGCTCTAACTGGGCAGGTGACTATGACAAACCCACTTAAATTCTCTGCCACTCAGTTTCCCCACTGATCTAGAGAATCACGCTCACAAGGCAATACGTTGAGAGTCAAGTTTATATCATTACCATCATTTTCCTGACTGCAAACATGCGCAGTGATAAATTAACCATTTTTGGAGACAAATTGTTATTCAGTATTCTGCTGAATTCTACTCAAAATCCAATACCAAACCAGCATTTGGGGCTCCAGTCAGCAAGGTGTCAGGGGCTCTAGCTCTTGCTGACGTCTTTGAAAGTTGAAAGTACACAATAACTTCAGAAGCTGCCCAGCATCTTGCAAGATCAAGCCCATAATACATTTTTGTACTGCTTATACTTCCACTGTAAATCCGCTGTCTGTCTTTCCAGTTTTGCTCTGCAGTTCCTGTATTCAGTGGTTTTACACAGCTACACAGGCACATTCCTTTCAAAACACTTGCATATATCAAGCGTGCAATATGTAAATATGCACACACTTGCTCAGGCATAAACCACATAGTGATGTGTAGTAAAATGAAAGTGCTGTTAAACCTTACTTTTATCTGAATTTGTAGAAAATGAAAAAACAAACAAGACAAGCTTATACGCTAACCAAAGAATGATTTCACTGATATTAGTTCCTGGTACCTAGTAGAAGGGGGTAATATCTCAGCAAATAAATATAAATAAGTGAAAAGGTGGATACTAGCTCTTGGGCTTACAGGGAATTTAACCAATACTTGTGGCAATCATAATTGGTAATTAAAAATGATTTATTTAAAGATTTATAAATATTGCAGGAAAGGAGATAATAGACATGCACTACTGTTTACAGTAAAATTTCCTGTAAATTAAAAAGAGTCCTTATTCTCTGTTTGGTTTTCATTTGGTACTGTACCAAGTATCTATTTATAAAAGGAAATATGACAGTATTAAGTGTACAAAGCGAGTTGCAAAAGAGATCAACAGTCAAGGTGAGTTTACTTTAAAAGAAGGCCTAGCAACACAGATACTGCAGATCCCATTTAGCTAAGAAAAGTCAGTTCAAGACGGGTCTTTTGTGTGTGATTCCTGAGAGCCGACTTGCCGCAGAAGGCAGGCGCCTCAGCCCGGTCTTCAGGTCTGGGAGGATTTTCTCGGTGCCCCACTGATAGCAGCTTAAAACATCCTGTCTTCCTGCCAGAATACAAGTTTGACCTGAAGGAAGGGGCGCAGCCAGCATGCTGCTCTTCAAGGTATGATTAGTGTTAGCCCCTTGGCTCAGCCAAAATCAGCCAAATGCACAGGTCACTTCAGGGTCAAAAGAATATAACCATAGCTATACGCCATGCTTGGACATCCCTAATCTACGTTGCAGTTGGCCTAAATGCAAAAGCAGGGCTCGCTAAATGCTTTTTCCTGCATATTTCTGAGGAAATTCCACTACTGTTGACATTAACTAGAACTGAGGGCCATCAATACCGTGCAGTACATGGAGATCCTAGCAGACCTACAGTGGTTTTGCTTCACCGAGTGGCTAGTGAATACAGCAATGAACTAAGAGATACATCAGTGGAAAAAACCTGAGCTGCTTTTAGAAAGCATTTCAGGTGACAGAGAGATAAGACAGGAAAAAAAGTGTACTGAACACTACATAAAAGGAAAATTTGATAAAAAGTAGGTAACGTTTCAAAGGGATTATGTTTAGAGGACGTTTTCCTGCAATTCATTTTGGCTAAGCTTTTTCACTTATAATATTTTCCAAAACAGTTTATTATAGAGTCTTTCTGAAGTCATAGTTACATGACAAAGTGTGTCACAATCTCAAATCATCTCATCCCGCATAGAAACTTCTGGAAAGAGCCTTAGAAGAAGAAAAGGTATTCACAGTTGAAAGGGAATAGTGAAAACAGACATAACATGTTTCAATAGAAAGCTAGAAAACAACCTATTTTGCAGAAGCAATTGCTGAATTAGCCATGGAGCCATCCGGCTATCTCTAGAAACTGGAGAACCATGACTACGACTTCATTAATCTCCATAGTACCCACCCAGGGGAAAAAGGGTTTGTGGACAGAAGTGCTGGATCAGGGTCATGCAAACTCTCCTTTTACATACAACAAAAGGTTTACACGGCTGATAAAATCCTGAAACTGCTGACATTACCCGGAGGCCAAGAGTTACACAGATGCATGGGTTTTACTTCACACAGTTCTAAGATCCATTATTTGATATTTAGTGCATGAAATTAATGCTGTTTTTTTTAAATCATGTACTTAAGTAAACAAATCTGCAGAGGATATATTATTCCATTATACGAATTCAATAGATTAGAACTCGTTTAGAAATGTTCACACTTACCTGGGGGCACATGTTCATTCATGATGACGAGTGATGCTGGTGTAGGCCTTCTTTTCCTGATCTGTAACACGCATAAACCAAACAGAGTCATTAGGGATCACCAACTGCTCTGCACCCAAAGCAAAGCATAAATCTGGTGTTCTCCTGAGTGTGAACTACGTTAACTATGCCAAGTTCACTAAACTAACTAGTTGATTAAGTTAAAAAAGGAAATATTAACAGAAGAGCAGCACGTCTTACTCACTGCTGTTCTAGTGTGCAACAATCAGAATCATGCTAGTGCTTGTACACGGAAAGCAACAGCACTGGGGAGAGCTTTCCAAAATACGTTTAGGATTTGCAGTCATCTTGAATATGTTATTGGACCTGTATCACTGAGCCACGCAGATATATCTTAAAATATTGACATTTAGCTCTGCTTCAGGAAAACGCAGTGGAATGTAAGCTTAGATATGCAAATATCTACTATTGTCATAATTCTCACAAATAATTATTAATATGACTATTTTGCATGCCCACTTGAGAGCTGATATTGTGCATATGCCTTCCAATGAAATTAGTTAGGAGTATTTCTAAAATGTGGCCACTGGCATTATTAATATTCTTTTATTACAGGAAAACAATACTAAATATTTCAAAAAGAGTATTTCCAAACAGCACTATAGCATAGATATTTACATATTAACATATAACCCTGAATAGTAATTGTATGTGATTCTTCTTTGTTTAAAGTTTGTCCAGTTAAGATTTTTTTTTGTTCCATTAATGTCAGGCATTTAGCTACATGATATTGGACTACCCTCCAATAACGGACATATTTGTGCTGAAAGCTTTGTGTTGCCATATTAGCCTGCAGGCTATTGATATTCTACTGAATTTGAGAGGGGGACCAAGAGTATTTAAGCTAGAAACCGTTCTGAGACAAAACCTCAGCGTCAGTGTGGTTGTTCTCTTTAATTGCTGAGCCAACATCTGTGGATAGCTCGGTTCAAATTTTGCTTATCATCAGGTTTAATGGGGTTAGTGTAAACGTAGCTGATACCAGTATTTATTAGTGCACTTTCATCACACACTCACAGTACAAATGTATAGCACTTAAAATTAAAATCACACCATAAAAAAGGGACAGCCCATAGCTACCAGGCAGAATCTGGCCCACAGCATTTCAGAAGCTACAGGAATTCAGTGAAATCCTAATCGTGTGGTTCTCATAAACAACAGCACACATCCTGCGTGAATTAGTTGCAGTACTGCGCCATAAGGCACAGACATCTTATAGCGCAGAGGTATCTATGGACAAAATGAAGATCTGCAGCAAGTCTCTGCTGTACCCGTCTAGTATTTCTTCGTTCAGTGGTTCACCCACAACTCTTCACTTTCTGACAAGGGCAGTTGCCTCTGAAGAGACATGACTCAGAATACGCAGGAAACGAGATATCTGTCCTAAAGGTGGAAATAATTTCATAGCTATTAACATGGAACTATCAAGGTTATAATATTCCTCTGGTATCATCTAAAAGTAGACTTACCAAAATAGAAGCAAACGTTCAGAAGGACTTGCACTGCTATAGGTGATATACTAGGTGACCTAATTATGATTTATCCAGCTCTTCTGTTAAGATTCTGTGTGCCCTTCTTTATGTACACCTATGCATATCTGTACACAGTAACAGATTTTTTTTCCTCCATAGATTGCTGTATCATATTACATATTTTATATATGTGTGCATGCATATGTTTTGGGAATCAAAACCTAAAATAGTACACATATTCATATCATGTGTATATAATTCTACATTCAGGCATATTTCTACACTTACATATCTCTCAGATACTTAAAACACTGTAACAGTAACCAAAAGAAAATGGTGTCAAAATCTTGAATATACAGGAGCTAACTGAAGGGATAACCATTGTGCAAAATGTAAATCACATTTTCTCGTGTTAAAATGAATGGTAAGTAAACCGCTTTCTATCTGGACTGCGCAATATTTCCATCAGGTATCTATTATCAAATTCATATTTTGCTATATATAAAAAAAATGTACTTCAGATGATTTGTTGAGAACGTGTATTATTGCGAGGGGCTTGTATTAGAGCAGAAATCCAGTTATAAAAAAAGCACAGCAAATATATACTGAATCAAAATACTAAGGCAAAGAAGGTTTATTCTAAATAAAGGATACATCCTCCTCGGTCTTTGGATGCATCCAAACATATTGCTATAACCTTCAGCACATTTAATCTGCAGTTACACTGACATAAGCTAGAAAAGCATTTAGGCCACAAGTGCCCTCGTTCCCACCCCATTCCCTCAAAACAGTGAAAGAAACTTGTCTTCCTTACCTGTTCAGCTGCCTCAGGGTCGATTTGGCTCTGAAATGGCGGCACGGCAAACTGTATCTTTTTAGGACTGTTGGGCTCCATAACGCTGCTGAGGTGAATCAGGAGAGAGAAGAGCCTGGAGCTCCTGCAAACGGAGACTTGCTCTGTGCTCCCCCCCCGGCGCCCTCCCTAAAGCCACGCTGAGCGCTCCTCAATAACAGCTGTAATTCCCGACTTAGCAAGTGAATCTGTACAAGCCGAGCAACTCCCTTATTCCACATCCACAGAGATGCCGCTGGCTTGACTTTTTTTTTTTCTTCCCTCCCCTCTCTTCTCCAGTCCTTCAGATCCTCTCAGCACAAAGCTGAAAGGAACAATAAGCTAATTGTGTACCCGTTCACTTCTACATATGCCAAGCATTCACTCAGAAGCTAATTGAAAATGCAATACTAGCATTGCATGGCCTGGTGCCCTGGGATTTGAAAAAGAGGATCTCTCCACCGTACATTACTAACTGGCTGCTCAAAAGTGCAATGCAAGCTCCCTCTGAGCATTGCTGATGGGCTCTTAATTATTGATGAACACAAATCAGGAAGTTTTCAGATTTTGGGGGGTGGAGGTAGCAGGAGGGGTGGATGCACTAATTCCACCTCTGCTGCAGTGTGCCAGAACTGCTCTTTTCTTCTCACATGTCAAACAATTTTCTTTGCTCTTCAAATTGTTTGCAAGCCTCTTCTAGGAAGATTGTTAATGATGAGGCTACACAGATGCTTACACTTCCATGAACTGTATCTGGTGTATCAAATGGGTTTGCCCCTCAGGCTAATTCAGATTTAGACTGCAGTCTCTTCTGATGGGATCCATCTCACATAGCATCAGATACTGAAAAGTTCCACTTTTAAGCCAGCCATCTAGGCGCTCTCGCACTTGGATGAATTGCATCAAAAGGCAATTCATCCTGTCCTAGGACAAGAGCCCCAGGATAAGTAGAATATAGCATTCACTGGAGATGATATTTTCTCTCCATCAGCCCTGGAAAAAGTAAAGATGATTCGGACTAGACACTTCACTTCTAGGTGGTGAAAATTCAGAGGACTAAATCTAAGTTTGAGGTACAAAATCTGTGCCTTTTTCTAAGTACCAGGAAAATAATTTGATAAATAACACTACATGGCAAATCTAATTAATGTGTACATTTCATTCGATCTCAGTCAAAGAGAGATATAGGAAATAATATATGGCTACCACTGACTCAAGCTACCTCTAGACCTAATGCACCTGACCACTACGTAACAGCACAGGAGAGCTCCTGCAGCAAAGGTGGGCTTTATGCTAAAATTGCAGCCCTGGACAGAAAATCTCCTAGCTGGTTCAGAGGACCATGCTTAAAGCAAAGCTTTAAGACCACAACTGTTAGGCCAGTCTTCTGTAACGCACTACCAACAATTGGAAAGAAAAAGAAAATGAGGAAGAGTAGGAAAGCCCATACTGGCATAGCCTGTCACAGAATGAGCTTTGTCCGGGATGAGGCTACATGCAGGCAGTAAGGGAATTCCTGTCCGGTCACAGGAAGACCAGTGAACTCTCCTACCAAATGAATGCCACAAAGAAGAGTAACCAGCTGAGCACATGAAGATCTCTGAGAGACTGGAGTAATCAGATAAAGAGGCAGCAAAATCCAGAGCTGCGGCTGAACGTCAAAACTCCAAGGAATTTGAAAACACACCTCTGCTTCAGGACACTGAAAACATGAAGGATTTTCACAGTTCATCACAGGTTTATTCTAAAGTCGATGAGTATTTTACCATCTGTGCCAGTGGGGGCAGGGAACACAGTTAAGGACAAAGCCCAATCTCTGCACAGCCAAACAACCCGAAAGCCAGGGATGGAATATTTGTTTGGCTTTGATGTATACAAATGAAAATTGTTAACACATTAACGGCATACCAGGGTATTTCTGAACAGAGGCAAACTCACTAGCAAGCTGAGGAAGGAGAAATAGCCCAGGAGGAGAGACTATATCAAAGTTAAACTCCTGGTTGACTCAATGATCAAAAAAGTTCACAGCAAAGGCTGAAATTCCCCTCTTCAGCCACCTCAAAACTACTATATACCACAGTGGCTTCCAGTTGATGGCTAGTAGCTGGAAGAAATGCCAGTGACTTTTAACTGACAGCTTGCTTGATGTCTTGTATAGGTTGGCACAGGTGATTTTTGAAAGATATTAGGAAGTTGTGGTTTACAGTGGATGTTGAGAGGGCAGAAGACAATCATGGGGCTCATTATCGTAGAGTATTTCTGACACCTAAAAAATTGTCCGTCTCCCGAGAGACTAAATAAAAGGGAACGCAGTTAGGAATTTCTAACAACAACTTCACACCGATTCTATCTTCCAAATTTTCTCCCTGAACTGCAATCACTAAATCTCAGACATACTCCTACTTATAGATGTCTACATGAACGAATCCAACTATGCAACTGGAATTTTAATGTAGCAGAAAACTTTTTCTTACCTGAGCTGTATAGCAATTAGCACTCACCAGTTTTTTGATGGGTAGAACACACTCCTTTGATATGACAAAAGGTATTAGATGCTTAGAGACCAGTATGAATCACCTCAGGGAGCATGTCTCATTTGCTGGTGATTTTTCTGTTAGATTTATTGTGATAGTTTACGTGGCATTAGCATAGAACTGGAGGACCATGGAAAAGTCTAGGTTGGAAAGGATCCCCAGAGCTATCTGCTCCCACCTTCTGTTGAAAGCAGGGCCTTAGATTAGGTTAACCTGGAAATTTTCAAGCTGAGTCTTGAATATATTCTGTGAATTTCTATGGCTAAATGCTCAGTTTCATTTACAACAAATGAAAGAGAGAGACAGAATAGTGTCAGTGTCAATGTTCAGTGCCTCATAAGATCATTTTTAAGTCCTCTCTACTCCTACAAGGACCCATCATAACTGATTTTATAGACTTCCACAGCTAATTTGAGCCAGGGAGCAATTCCATCAATTCTGCTGGTACAGCTAAGAGACAACAGTAAAAGTAGGAGAGGCAAGCACAGCTTTCACTAACGACAGTTAGAGAGTTGTGGAAGGTTTTCAGAACGGCCTAATTATCCAGCTCCACAAGTCCTCCACGAGCTGATGTGCCATTAACTTCAATGACAGCTCCAAACACAGAATATTCTTCCATACACAGGGATATAGGCAGCTCTGAAGTTGAGGTTTGTCTCTGGTAAATTTTCATACTTAAAAGAAAACAGTAAGTTTTGTTGGACACTACAGTCAAAAGGAATCATGTCTCAAAGTTGTTGCTGGCAATAATATCTGAGAAACAAGTTCAACAGCCATACGAAGAAAAAAAACCAGTATGATCAGTTCTGAGCAGGTTCAGAATGGAGCCAGGCAGCAAGGACAGGAGAAGGCATGAGGACAGATCCTTATTGGGACTGGTACGCCTCCAATAGAGGCCCACTGGTGATACAGCATGGAGATACTTGCCCCTGCCACTCTCCTCTCCGTGCTTGTTCTAAGCCGGCGCCAGGCATTCTTCACATGCACTACAACAATAAAAGTATTTTTTTAAATAGTGTAAGAGGCATATTTCAGAGAGCACTCAGATATAGCATTTCATGATTACTGCATCAGCTCACCCTTACACCTAATTTGCAGCACTGGATGTCTCCAGGCAAAGCGTGCTTGCATTTTCTATAGACTGCATCATAGTCTGGGGAAGAGCCGAAATGCATTTAAGTACTGCCAAATCCTTTTAGCTCATTTTCTGTTTTTAGTGCACTCTCCGCAATGTTTCAAATTCCTTCATGATTCAGCTGAAGCTATCATGGAAGAAGAAAATAATAATAGCTGTCTAGGATCTTTCTATGTCATTCATTAGGTCTTGGTATGAATCAGTGCCTTTTTACGTATCCTGCTGTAACAATGAGCTACCAAAATATTCGCAGCACCATTCCTGCTTTAGATATTTTCTCTGTTATATTAGGAAAAGGTTATATTTTTTTCACAGCCATGGTCACTGCCTGCTAGGGATGGAATTCAACAGTCTTTATCCTGCACCGTCTTTACAAAATTTCTGCTATGGCCTGTCTCTGCTTCTCCGCTCTGATCAGGGATTACTGTGGTATCAGGTGGGAAAGGAGAGAGAACTGGAAGCGCTTGTAAAGTCAACGTACTTACGGATCGGCTCCGAGCGTCCGAAGCCGAAAGCACTCTCTCAGTGCTTTCATTGGGCTCTCTGCCTGTGGTCACCTGTTTAGGGCACTGCTGGGCAGCCCCAGCATCCTCCGGTCGCGCACTGTGCTCCCAGCTGGGGCTCAGAGGCTTTCTGGTAGGGTCAAAGAGGACTTTATTAAGCTTTCCTTTTCCTTCTGCCCTTTTCTAATGAACTGCCAAACATTTTATTAGCAATAACAAAATACTTTTGTGAGGTGATTCACTGCCTTTGTCTGTTTCTAATGCAGGGGCACCAATTTCGCAGTGATTGGTGCCGGTCACAGGCAGAAGGGTGACAGAAAGAGCGAATTCTAGACCCTGTAATGTCCACGCTATGCCTGTTCATGGACAGATCGTCCTCTCTAGGGCTCTGTCTGGCCTTCTTCATAGGTGCTAAGATCAGATACAAGTAGCTTCAGAACAAGCAGTGATAAAACCAGAAGGACCCTGAAAGTTTTCCTTAAAAAAAGCTAAACACGGGCCTTGCATTCAGGGAGGCTCCCACTCAACTTTTGGAAATAGCTTGCGATGTATATGCAGAAAACGTAGAAGATTTTAAAACTGTGATGGTGGGAGAATGTAGGGCAGGCTGTATCTGTTTGCAGATAGGAAGTGCTGCCACAGGCAGGCCAAGATGAAGAACAGAAATCCTTGTTGAGCAGTCACAGAGTCAGTGGGACATCCGGAGATTGCTGTTAGTCTAATAACAGCCTAATCCGAATTTCCATCACCAGTTCTTGTCCACCAAACACCAAGGTTTGGACTTGCTTACATGCTAACTATACAGACGGATTTACAAAGCCTTTAGATAAGGAGAAAATGCAGCTATTTCTATTTATAAGATCTCTTTGGGTGAGATAATTATCCCTTAATAGTATAACTGCAATCATAACAAGCTTTAAAATTATGTTAATTTGCGGACATAAGAACGGACACTATCCGTTCAAGTTTTCCTCTAGGACTAACAGCTCTCCAGACTTTCCTGTAACGTACAAACGTTTACAAGTAGGTGCTGTCTGCTGTTATCCATAGAATCAGCAAATCCAAAACATAGGAAATGAGCTGGATTAACGGGACATAACCTGATTAGATAGTCAAAAGATCCATGTCTAGTATGGGCTATAGTTCAATAGTGTAGAGACTGAAATTTCAGTAACCTGCAGAGCAGGAAATCATACTAGAATTCTGTTCTTTACTAAGAAGAATGTAAATCTAATATATTTTTCAATAAATAGAAACTGCTGTTGGCAGTTCACATAGACTTTAGAATGAAATTATATTATCTTCTTTTCACATTAAATCTTTAATGCAAAAATTGACTGACTGCAACATTGAATTAAACAACTGAAATATAAAATTGAGTGTCTACTGTTAGTTTTTTAGAATTAGAATCAAAATATAGAACACAGGGAAGCCAAACAACAAATGAACTTTTACAGTTTCAGAGTCCGAGTTAGAAAACTGTGGTTAGAAAACCACATTACAAATGGAAAGCATTTTTAAAATTCTGACTTTTGAGTTGCAGACTTTTAAGATTTCAATTCCTTTATTTCCTCCTCCTTCATCTCTGAGGACAGATTAGACCTAGAGAAGTCACAGCAGCCCTCAAAGTCTCCAAACACCTTGCACAAGGAAGCAACTGCATAGGCCAGCCCTGTTCAGCTGGGAAAACGCACCAACTGGAGGGCGATAGCCAAGGTTTTGTGACCTGGAGAAGGGGGTAGGGGATAAATATTTACCGCTCCTTACACAAGCTTCAGGGAGCAGCAGAGCGGGACTTCTGGGCGAGGAGGGGTGAGCTGGGAGCCACAGGTGACCCCGGTAAGGGTCAAGTCCTCACTGGCAGGGCGCAGACCCACGGTGCCCAAACACGGTGGCAGATCCAGGGCTGGTGACAATGACAGCCCCAGATGGGGTGCAGGGGACCAGCCAGGACCAGGGTCCACCAAGGTACCCCACGAGGAGGCAGAGACAGGGCTACAGCATAAGTCCAAGGTCCATCTAGGTTAGTGGCTGAAGACCAGGTTCCTGCTACTTACATGCACAGTCCTTCCAGGAGACAGGCGCAGGCGCAGGCACACCTACGCAGCTCAAATAGCAACTGAAGGCCCCAAGCTGAGCTGAAGTGGGGCTCCCGGGGGTGCACGGGCACCCAGGTGAGCCTGGTCAGGGCTGTCAAGATGCACTCAAGGCCCTGACTACAACAGCTAGGTGGTGTCAAGTTAAATTATTAAGGAATTGGTTCAAAACAAAAAAGCACTCTTTTCATACAGGCTGTATTTAAATTGTGGAACTCATTGCCACAGGATGCTGCAGGTGCCAAAATTTTGCATGAGTTAGAAAAGCAATTAGCCAAATTCATGGAAGAAAAATCCATCAAGGATACCACCTTTGGCTCAGGAAATCCCAGAGCCAGGGACCGCTGCAAGCTGGAAGAGCAGACAGTCGTCACGCTTCCCTTGTGTTACGTTCTTTCCAAGCAACAGCATTTGCTATTGCCCACTATGGGAATCAAAACATCAAATCGGCTGGACCTTCAGTTTAACCTATCATGGCCAGCCTTACGTTACTAACTGCAACAAAAGTCCAGCCGTTTCATGAGCTTGTACTGATATACTCATTGTACTTAAAAATAATCAATCTCACTGCTAAGATTATTTCCATTGTCTGTGTCAGGGTGAAAACATGCCTAGATGTGAATTTTCCTGCAAAAGGAACAGTAACAACAATGCTTTTAAGTACAGATTTAAAACCTGTTTTTAAAAGCAATTTTAGCCTAAGCATTGTTTAATCTTTAGGATAGGGCATTGCCCTTTAAAATAATTTCCCCTGTTCTCATACTTTGAAAACGAAAGCTAAAATTAAAGTCAAACACACAGAACAAATACTTGTGTAGATATTTTCTTTTAAAAAGTTGACTGTGAAACTCCCTAAAGAATTGTAGGCCAACAACTAATGCGAAACAAGAACATTTTAGAAAATAATGAGAAACCTCACGTAATTACATAAACACTCACTAACTTAGAAGTACCTATGGAATTAGGTAGCTGTACCAAAGACTTCACAGTAAGCAGAACAGCTACTCACCCACTCAGACAATTCTTACTTTTCATCATGCTGTCATCTCATCACTATAATTCAATTACTTAACCACTATACAGGCTGTCCCCTCTTACCCCGTTAAAACAAGAAAAAGATGTTTCTGCGCATCATATTCTCCATCACTCAGGAAACATCAGTGCAGAACTGCATGATATATATAAGCTATTTTGAATTATCAGGGGGAGCATGTATCTCTTTTAAAAACTTGTCATTTCACTTACTGTTACAGCTTTTTAAACTTAGTTCTATAACCTGCATATAAAGGATTATGATCACATCTAAAATCACATCTAAAATATTAAAGTAAATTTGCATTAGACCAAGTTAATAGTATGACCTTCCTGTTTCCACCGAAAGTCACACCATATATTATTTCTTATATTAACATGTTAATTCAGAAGAAAGTGTTGTATTTGACTGAAGCCATCCTCCAGCAAACAGTTATTCCATTTTAGGATACCACCTAGGATTCTGGATTTTTTGTTTCCTACAGAAGAACACTCTTCCAAAACACAGAAATTTTCCAGTAATTCAGACACAGTTTCGTTTTACGCTGCTGGTTATGGCTTGAATGACTCTAGTTTTCAAGCTAGGCTCTTGCACGCTCTCCCTAATCAGTATCTTCCTAATCAGTATCTTCCTCAGGGCAATTTCACTGAAATGGATTCGTATGTGATATAATGAAAATGTTCTAACCTTTGCTGTATTTTAAACATAATCAATTTACTCAGCAGTACACAAAACTCAGAAGAAGTATGAATGCTGCCTCACAAGATTTAGAAGAATAACACTGGTGAACATCAGTGGCTGGACTGTGTCAACAAGGCTTTAACTTCTCTCTTAAAACAAGACAGCAATCAGCAAACAAGTCCTTGGGAAATACAGGAGACAGATCATAGTCTTTGGCATGTCGTGCCTTACAAAAGCAGACTGCCCAGCTGTCAGGGCTTGCACACTGCACGTTTTGAGAGAAAGCAGAAGAACCGCTGTGCAGGTTGCATTCCACAAAGTGATTGAGAGCTACAAGAGCCTTTCATCAGGAGGGACAGGGACACTTCCAGGCCTCTCTCCAACCACAGCAGTACAGATGACTGGGAGCAGAAGTCTCTCCTTGCACTTAGTCACGCAGCCTGAGGCCACGTAACAGGGTGAGTGGTCACTCTTTGTCCTCTCCGTTTCTGGTTATGGCCACACACACACCCAGCCAGCTGCAGTACCACCACGCTTCCAAGACCGCTGCGCTGCCCAAAACGTACACGGAGCAGCTCCTACCTTCCTAGCCCTTTACTCTGGTTGCCTGAATGCCACCACATCATTTCAGCAGGGACCATTTTTCATAGCTTTTCACCGCAACAGTGAAAGCTCGAAAGGTGCTTTTACTTAACTAGTAAAAAAAGATGCAATCCCTTCAAGAACCAGAGCCCTCAATCTCCGCCTTAATGGAGCTGTGCCATAGCCACTTACTGCTTTGCAGCAGGCTAAAGACTAGTCTATCTGCTGTTGCTACCTAGAGGGATGTATGTAGCTGTCCTGTACCCACAGAAAACAGTTAGTTCTTCCATTTTTCAGCATACAGCCCTTGGCTTTACGTTCCTGAAGCCAGACGGCAAACACCAAGACCGCTGCCATGGTGAAGTTTAGAAAAGCATCCAACATGATCTCTGGCATTACTACTGGCTTTATTCATAGCAAATTAGATTGACCAGAGTTTGTTAGCCACTAATAACTGATTCACTCTACATACAATTCATATCAAATTGCAGGCTTGCAGGAAAAAAAAGAAAATATGGCATTAATTTGTAAAGAAACATTAAACAAAAGAAACAGCATCCTTACTCAGAATATCATTACAGCTGAATTGACATTACCAAAAGGGCAAGCCACCCATGTTAGGCATTTGCCAAGTGATAATGACAGCTGTTCCTAAGGCACAAGCAGAAGTGCCAATAGAGGTTGATATCAATTCAGCTTAATTTATATGACAGCAGTGAGTTATCACTTTTTTTTTTTTTAAGGAGTTTATAGATATAGATATTCATTTATCTAGAAATATGTCACTCAATATTAGATGGAAGTGTCTTTAGAAAGAGTACAGTTGTTATTACAATCATAAGAAATTAGGTGCTTGTGTATTCATTAGTTTCAGTATAATTTTTAGTGAAACGTCTCTATTTTAAATTGTGCCAGAACCTCATTAATCTGCCTTCCACCAGCTGAATGAAAAATTGGCACTATGTTCCTTTTTCAGGACATATTAAACATTAGCCTCTGTGTTGCCAAGATCAAATGTTCTTATGAGCTCTGAGCTACAGTGCCCCAGGTACTCTGGGATCGTCATACACCTGAGTGACTTGTTTGGCCAAAGCACGGACACCGCTGAGGGACACTGCTGCCAGCCTCCGCCCGCAACAGCCTCCAGCTCCGGACGTGGTTTCCTCCGCAGCTCTGTACAAGCTAGAGTCATCACCTTTCTTGGAATACTGCTGCGAGAAGCACATGGGCACAGGATTTATATTAATATTAGAATGTGCTAATTAGTCTGGAGGGGGGAGAAGAGGAGTATCTGCTGCTCCAATTACTTGAGTAAGTTTAGGTTGTCTGCACTTGCAAACAAAGGTTGCAGGCACTCCGGTCTGGCTGGATATTCTTTGGGTGGCATTTTGGAATGGAACTATATGCTCGGGCAAGCCGCAAACGAAAGCGGAAACCTACTGCAGCTTACAACCTCGTATAAATGCTGCTGGAGTTTACGTTTTAACTTTTAAATGTATAGGATGAGACTTTCAAGAAAGCTCTGGCTCTACTCACAGGGACATATTCTGAAGAGAGGTCAGGACCAAGCAAATTCTTGAGAGCTGAAACAGGAGCCAACAACTTTAACAGTTTGGTTTTAAAATGTCAACAGTTCTTTCAAATTTATATCACACATTTATCAAGCATATAGAGTCTGAACATCTGAAAACTTTCCGAAAAACCAAGAACTGAGCTTTCATGCCATTGTCCATTCTGTGTAGTGTTTCATCAAATCTATGTTACGTACTTTGCTTGAAAGTAAAACGTGCACAATGAAATGCAGAAAAACACTGACAAAGATTATAGGCAAAATAAATATTTTATTGGTTTAATATACTTTTTTTTTTTTTTTAAAGAAATCAGCCCTTCTGTGTGTCTACCTAACACAATTAAAATCTTTTAGATAAACTTTTTCATGTAATATTGTTATATTTGAAACTATTTCTGATTAGAGACCTTGACACAGTATAAGTTTTAGTAGCTGGAAATGGCAAAGGAGTAAGGAGAATTCCAAGCACAGTCAGGTAGGATATTATGTATCTGCTAAATGTCTACTTGACCACATAAAACCTCCAATGACTTCCAATTTTTTTCCATCGGAACAAACACATGTTCACTAGGCTAACTGAAAATAGAATCAGTGAAGGATGGGGAAGGAAAAGAAAATTTTCCATTTTCCCCATAATACAAGCAAGGTCATTCATCCATTCCAGGTTATACATCCTAATTTCTTTCAGAATATCAGTACTTTTATTGTATTCTGTTTATATAAAGCAGAAAACAGAACTTCTCTTGATATGAGTGAGAAGCAGTCAAAGACAAAAACAATGCTTAAAATAAGGCACTTTTCCACAGAGGGATGGGCAAACAGTAAGGAAGCAAATAAAATTAGTTAAAAGTTGTCTTCTACACAAAGATAAGGCTTTCAGTGTCAGAACTTTAAGTAGTTTTAAGTAACCTCATGTCATTCTACCACTCTGCTAATAGTAACCTCCCCAAGAATTAACAACAATTTTTACAACAGGATTTTTCCTTCTTTTGAAGTGGCACTAAGTAACAGCAGTGGAAACAATTATTGGTTGTTTCAAGCTCTCAAAGTGGATCAGTTATTGCACAATAAATACCTCATAGAGGTCAGTGTTTTTGTTTGTTTGTTTTTAAAAAAAGCTAGGCTGAATGTTTGTGTGTTATTTATAAATCGTTTAAGTCTGGAAATTTTCAAGTTTCATGATGCATCACTAAATAAAGAAGTTAGCTACATAAAAATTTACAACAGGGACATACAAATAAATACAAAACCTTTCGGACAGCTACAGTTTTGTTGATGCCTTATGGAAAGTAATAAACTAGTTAAAGTGTCTAAGGCTTTATATATGAACTCAAGGAAAAGTACGCGTCATAGAACCAAGCGTTGAATACAGTAGCCTATCTCAGCAGCTTTAACATCTCCTGAAGCAAAAATAACTTGACACTTTCACCAGTGTATGCCGCCCAAAGCAGAAATCCACAGCACTTCGGACTACATCCAACCTTACAAAAAAGAAAAAGCAAGATGGATATCAAAATTAGATCTTTGGTCGTCTGCTGGCTGTCAAGTGCTTAAATATACATTTTGCTAATATCCATATATAAGACAGGCAAACTACAGAAATCTTCTGGCATGATCCATTCATATATGGAATCATCATGGAGAGTACTGAAACAAAATCGAGGACCACTACATAAAAATTGACAGTAGGAAGGGCCAAGCTGCAAAACAGTTGATTTTCCAGAGCTATCTAGACTATCTATATTCTCTGTATTAAATGAAACTTCAGTTTTGACCATTCATATTTCAAGGGAAAAATAAAATCAAAGCAAGACTTCAGCTAACCAAGATTCCATATAATAAAAATAACAACAAAAAAATACATTTCGGTGAGCCATTGAATTGTTCCAGCAGATTCACAAAAATTACCTGCAGTACCCGTTTCATGGCTGTGAATCTTGTTTTGTAGTTGCAGATCTGCTTGGGGATGATACTGCTGCTAACAATCCACTTACTATTTCTCGTCGTATTTCACCAACAATGGATTCCTTGATCTGAAAGGGATTAGACAGAGTTTCAAGGTCACTGAGTTACATAACCAAAAGGATAAAACTAAATGGTATTGCAGATATGTTTGACATTAGCAGCATATGAAAACATATAACACCAGAAAGTCAACATTCTAAAAATGCAAATGGAAAAAAATACAAGGGTTTCTCTTGGAAAATCATTTTAAAGTAAGTAATTTTAAAGTTCTTGCAAATAAGATAGTTGCAGGCTGAAGTAGTTTGATTTTTCCAGATGGTACTTATATCTGTATTTTACACTTAGGATTACCAGCTTTATGTTAAAATATATTTCAACGATGCAAAGCTGTAAAAAGAGTGCATCAAGAAAGCAAACCACATCAAAAGCACCACAAATGCACCGCTTTATATCTTTAGTAGTGATCTCTTGAAAGGGATGGCAGGACCTATTTACCTCACAAGATTCATTATGCTGTAGGAAAGGTCCAAGTCTTTGAATAGGAGCTGCTGCTTTCATATAAATCAAAAGGCAGCTAATCCTAATTATATACTTTTGGCAGCAAAGACAAACACAGAACTTCCAACAACGGCTCACATCATCATCTGGCCACTGGGATATTATCTATGCCAGCAAAGACTATTTTTCACATGATCGTGACAAAAGCATTTACCCGTTAAGTTTTACATAAACAAAAAGAGGAGTTACTAGTAGCAGGCACCTAATTGTGACTGAAGGTAGAAGAAAGAAAGAGGAGATAATTCAAGGCTATAGCAAAAGAAAAGAAAGCAAAAAGATCAGAGAAAAAGTAGCTCTGCGGTAGCATACTATGCTGGAAGAAGAAGGAGGCCATTACATAGGAAAAATACTATGAGCTGCTCACAACTACAAGAAATCTTCAGTGCCAACTCATTTTTTGAATGGTCTTCACTTGAGCAACTATTAACAAGTCAGATGTGGTTATAAGGACAGGGAAGAACAGCCACGGAGAAAGAATGCAGGCTATTAGGAATCCAGGCCTGACAGCCAGGGCCAGTAACATTAGCATTACTTATCCCAGTTAAAGTTCTCTTTTTCTTATAAAAAAAGATAAACAATTTCTTAGACTGGAAAAAATACTGTCCATAGTGTCATTTCACGAGCAGCTTTCCAGTGGTGAAGAGGCTGCAATGAACACGAGACCCGATAACAGAAAAAAATCCAAATTTCTAATGCCGGCTTTGCCAGTAATAAATCCCTTTGTGTTCCAGTGCTCCACTAATACCATGGGAATAACATTTACTCAAATCTGGCCTTCCCAATGGCCTTGCCATGTTTGTACAGCCCTCTCATCATGTCACCATGAACATCTTGCAATTATTCTTGTAAGCCTTCCAACAAGAGCTCCCCTCTTCCTGGTGCGTCAAGAGGATTAAGCAACAACGTCAGAAGGGCGGCAGCAGAATTAGCAACGGGTTATTTATCCCCTTGTCCTCACTGGCAAGGGATCAATCCCTAAACTATTAGTGGCAAAGTTCCTCATTGCATTATTACTTTGCATCAAGCAGAAATTCAGAGAATACAACATCATTTGGAAATCAGGTTTCAGTTGGACCGTTTGTTGATTAACTGACAAAAGAAAAGCCAGCATATATCAAAACCTGTTTTACTGACAGTCAAGTTCTGAGGACACCTAGGCAGATGCAGACACACACATACAAAGCTTGAGGACCCTGTCAATTTAGTGAGTACCTTTTGGATTCAGAAACTCTGGTACACGGAAATACACCAAGAAAATTCAAAGGAGGACAGCAGGGAGAGTAAGTTTTGCTAGAACCATACAGTACCCCCGGCTATCTGGCAGGTTACTGCCAGTTTTCTTCTCTAGTATCACATGGGTTGGGTCTCCGAGTCCATTACAAAACACGCACCCTGTGCCCTTCTCCAACAGGATAGGTAAAAATAAACACCACTTTCCACAGTAAACTGATTAACAGCTTCCCAAATTAGCAAAGTAAATGGTCTAGTATGGCAGTCTCGTGATGAGGTACGGACTAGAAGCGAAGCAGCTCCCGTGCTATTCACAGCTCTTCCAGCAACTTCACGCTCGACCTTGGCAAATCACTTCGACCCCTCTGCATCTCGCCTTTGTCCCGGAGATAACAGCAAGGCCACCCTCCGTTGCTTCCTTCCAGGGCTGCTGCTTCCTTACTTCGTTCTGCCTGTGACAGACTCATCAAGGTCACTCCTGCCCGGTGAGGCAGGTGTTGATTCCTGTGGTGACTCAGCCTCATGTGTGTCATGACAATCGCCAATATTTGTCTATTTGGTTACAAACGATTTAGGGCAAGGTGCACCTTGCATTGCCTCTGCACAGGGTACAGCACTCTGCCAAGACTCCATCAGTATCAGAGACAAAGTCTCTAATACTTTTAGAAGCTGAATGACAATTTGATCATTTGAAAGAGGAGAGGACCCACTCATACGTGGTATTAATACTATACCAATAATTAATACTGTATTAATACAATACCACATTCATAGATTGATTTACTACAGTAAACCAGTGATCTTCCTCCCTTTGAAAACATTACCATTACCACAATATTATCTTGCTGCTAAATAATGAACTCCTTGACAGTGGAATGTGCCAAACTGGCAATAGCAAAGACGTGTTCTTCAGCTAGTGACCAAATAGGAACACAAGCCTTTTTCACGTTCCTCATACCCCTAACCTAAGCTACATTTTTGTGCACAGAATTAAAAAAGATAACCTTTTAATCTATTTTATTTTTGGGCCACTTTTTCGTAGCAGTAAGCAAAGAGCTTTTATGCCCAGACTTTGTAAGATAAGAAGCCCAATGGCCTCTGCAAGGGAAGTATGAACAACCAGCAGATGCTAACGTTTTTTGGATCAATGCTGAGCCAATTTAGATTTGAATGGAAGAGGGAAGATTCTCCATCAAATCATCTATCAGTCCCACAGAGCTCCATTACAGCCTCTTAAAACAGACACCATCAGAAAAATCATGCATTTCTTTAAAACATAAACTTCACTGAGTGTCATTTACAATGGAGAAATCTTAGCAAAAACAAAAAATACATTCCTCAAACTGAAAGCTTTTTAAACTACTGCATCTTCTGAACTGCAGAAGAACCCGACAAGGTGGCCAGCTGGCTTACGCTCCTAGCAATACTGGGACTTACAAGTCAAGTAATAGGCATTTCATGTGGTATTCCAGTGGAGGTCAGGCTGTGTTTTCATCAAAACAAGAGGGCCACTGTTTGGTATTTTAACGTTTTACATTGTTGTAGGCTTTTCTGTAGGAGCAAGTCCACTAACACTAAAAATTAGCGCCAACTTTTTTTTTTTTTTTTTTTTAAAGCCAGCAAATAGTCACAGGTCAATGCTCACATACATTACAGCCCACCCAGGCACACTCTGAAACACTGCCTAACTTTTCTTTCCCCAACATTAGGTCACACAGCTACAGAGAATGGGAGGAATAAGCAATGGTTTAACATTTGTGCATGCATATATCAAGTATGCATACTAACTGATTTCTTTCTTTAGACAACAAAACTGGAATTCCTTTGGTAACAATAGGGCTACTTAAAGAAGACACGTTTCAATTTATGGTATGTTTTAGCTCTTATGAAAGACAAAAGATTTTCCTGCACGGTATTTAATAGCATATGCAGACTATGCAAAAAACAAACACGTGCTTCTACCAAATGCATCTTCACTCTGACACTCAAAACTCCTCATGTTCAGAATCAGAGCCAATTTGAAACTGGCTGCCAACAAAGTCAAACTGAGGGACAATCTCTCCGCGTGCTCAAACATTCATGAAGTGAGCCAGGCTCAGTTATTTATTTGCTGGCTATTCATAGTTGAATACTAGTCTCTCAGTTCAGTGCAGATTCTTTTAGAGTTATAACGTACTCAGCGTCATACAACCCAAAAAACATTCTCTGTGCAAAGAGTACACATCTTTATTTGCTATCAATTAATAAAGTGAAAGAAGAACTTTTGCACAGGAATAACCTCAGAAAAAATATTGACTGAAATAACCGTACTTTGACTCAAGCTCCCTTTATTGCCTCTGCTGCTGTCACAGTACGTTTGAACTATATAGCTCTGTCCTTCCTCTCTCAGTTTCTACTTGACAACACCCCACCACGAACCGCTCCTCTGAAACGTAGGCTTTTATAGAAGGGCTGGACATGACAGAAATGCAATGTCCTGGTTTCACTTCAGAATCAATAGCAAAGTACAAGGCGTGAGAAACCTCAAGTGCAAGTACTCTCTGAGCAACAGGCAAAGAAGCTCTTTAAAAAAAAAAAAAGGATGAAAGGGAAGCAAGTGGGCCAGAAACAAAGAGAATCTGGGATGTTTGGGCATGTTTTACGACATCTCCCAAAATCAAGGCCCTTCTCAAGGCTCCTTCCAGCTTTACTCTACTTACTTTCAGGAAGACTGTGGTGGGAAGGAGCCAACACATTGAAAGGGTGGGTGCTTGCCCACCCTTTCACATTCATTTATTTGGATTCAAAGTAAAGGTGTAACACTGCAGTATCACAAGATGCGCTGTAAAAATCAGTGACAGCAAGAAGGCATTCAGTTCTTAATGCTGAGCACAGCAGTGAGGTGCTTGGCCCAGCGGTATCTCTCAAAAAGCTGATTGCAGTACCCTTCCTTCCACAGGGTAACACTGCTTTCCATAAATCATCCCACTGACGCTAATGGGATTACTGGTGGGGCAAGGTACAACCCAGCATGAGTGAGGCTTATTATAGGCTAACATCCATTTTGCTTCACTGCCAAACCGTATCCTGTTTTAACACCAGCAGTTCACTCAATGTTAATGCTTGTGGCTAGGTGTTACTCGGCAGCCTTAGGCCTGATCATTTACGCAGCAGCAGAGCATTGCTAAGGAGTGATCTGATCTAAAGTAACGCTCTACTGCTTTACAAATCTCACTGTGCAAACGTTAAGTGACTACATATAGCAAAGCTTGCAGCGAGGCAGTCAAGAAAGCATCTCCACTTTGCAGAGAAACAGACACAGCAAAGTCTTGCAGTCACACAACAAGCAAGGGATACCTTATGATCCACTGCCTTTTTCTGCACTAGGGGAAAAGGAATGAAGAAACAGCAAAAGATATCTCTGAGACTGCAGCTCCTGTTTTATTGTGGGATGAGCGGTGTGCCTCTCACCTGTATCAAAGACAAAACTAAGATAACGCTGGTTCAGGTTGTTCGAAGCCTTGAAGCAAGTAGAACTGGATGATGCCTCAGAGTTGCAGCCTGGCCTGTCGCGTACTCCTGAGCATGGCAACTCTGCTGGTCATTATAGTGTTTTTTGGTGGAGCCATACCCAAGCCTCCAGGCACATACTAAAGGCTAAAGGTCTAGTCGCTACAGGAAGGAAGGAGAAAAAGGAGTTCCCAATCCCTACTTCTGTAGTCATGGCAGATTAAAAAAAAAGCTCCCCTTTCCCATGGGCACTGCTTTTGAGAGAAAGAAGTTTCTTTTGCTTCCTTCTCCCATTTACACTGTTGCCGTAAGGTTTTTTGTCATGCCATTGACATGCCTCCCCTCCTCCCCCCAAAAAAACCCTCAGTTTTAGTCTTGTTTTTTAACCTGGCCTGCAGGAATAACGTCCCAGCACCTTTCACTTTCATTGGCAGCCAGTAAAACTGGTCCAGAATCATCAGTCTTAATGTCTGAAATAACTTATCATCTGACCTCAGTTTGCTTCAGTTACATTCAGAGCTGTTAGTGGTTTGGGAAGAGGGACTGGGAAAGTATTTTTAACATTTACTACAGAGTTGTTTTAGCAGCAATATTTCATCAATCAAATTATCTCCAAAGTGGCATTTTAGCATGCAAACGTGACAGAGAAATTTTCACTTGGGAATCTGAAACACTGCCAGTCAACTAGCAGTACAGTCTGCAAATTCTTTCTCACCCAAACTTACAGCAGCAACTAGCTACTCATTTATGTGCTAACCGCTATCACTGAAAAAATGTCTACTGTATTGCACAAGAGTATAATTGTGGCTTGGCCAGCTAGCGACAAAAGATCTCCGACTGCAAACCCTGAGCCTTTAAACTAGGACAGTAATAGCACAGAGTCTTAGCTGGGGAGGAAAGAGAAAAAACTCCAGTGGCAGAGAGTTACAGACAGACTTATCTTTAAATTTCAGTAAACATTGTCTGAACATCCCAGAACACAGCTCCTCTCTCCTCACCTCTCGTATGACCTGCTGTAGCTCCTCCTGCTCCACACTTTTGTGGATTTCATCAACTGAAGGCACTAGTGGGTTTTTTTCAAGTTTGTGTTCCACCTCTGACTTGGAATCTGCAAGCTCCTCGGAGCTTTCTACTTGCTGTCCAGCACCTGCTCTCACAGGGGGAGCTGGCGTTAAGGCAACAGAGGCTCGGTATAACTTCTTGCTTTGACTCTTAGACTTTCCTGTTAGCTCAGAGGATCCAACACCAGCTTTCCTACTTGCGTGACTGGAGCACACTGAAGAAGAATCAGAGTTTCCATGGGAGAATACAGACTCTGAACCCTCTGCTGGTAGAGATTCCAGTCCAAGATCTCCCAGTCCTAAACCCAATTCAGACTTCAGAAACGACTGCTCTCGAATAAGTTCGGAGACCTAAGGATTCAGAAAAGAAACAGCCCTGAATAAGCATGCCAAAAAAACAAAAACAAATACAAAAAAACACCCCACATACAGACACAACTATACCTTCTTGTAATTTATTCAGTCCCTCCATGGTAATATAATTTACTCATTCCCTCCATGTAACAAATACAGATATAAAATAAATATATGCTTTGCCTTTATGACTGCAACAAGGAGGATCATAAAAAGGAATGGGCTTTTTTCAAAGCCAAAACAAATAAGAACTGTGGCAGTTCCCCAAGCCACTGACTTTTGCAATATGGATGCATCCTATCAGAACCACTGACAGACACAAATGTAGAGGCTTGATTTGTTTTTCTTTGCTAAAAGAATTCAAGTTTGTTCACTTTCTTCCTGTAATTTTTTAGACTACTTGTTTTAAGTAGCTCAGGAACTTGCACAGGACTCCTAGCATAACATTCACAGAAAAAGTAAGAGATTATTTTCCTAGCAGAACTCACCATGTAGTCATTATACCAAATACATGCAAGCAACATTTCACTTCTACATATTCCTCTTAAAAATAAACGAGATTTCACAGCCACTTACACTTACGGTTAACTTTGCTTAAGGGTAAATGCAGTTGTTCTCAACAGAACTACCCAAGTGAGTAGTATTTGCAGGACTCTGACAAACGAATCTCTTACAACCTTTCTTAAGGATGTCTTTCCTAGTTCTTTTTCTAAGTGAAACACACAACTACTTACTGGTTCAATGACATTCAACGGAGAAGGACACGATAGATAATCTGTACTTCTGCTGCCATACATACCCTGAAAAATTAAGTCAAGTCAATGCTTTTAGCTTTTTTTTTTTTTTTTAAATCTTTTTTCACAGCTCTCAGCAGCTAATATATAAACATGCCATGTCACAGACAACTTTCTGCAAAAGCAGCAACTTGGAACCAGGAAGCAAAGCTGGTCAGAGAAAGTTTATTTCATTCGTTTTTTAAAGCCGGCCCTCTTCTATAAAAGGATTTACAAATATAAAGATATTTATATGGTTCAAGGAATGCAAGTTTGGCTTGGGATCACAGTAACGCCAGAATTTCCTGTTCTTGAGTTTCAATCTTGTTTCCCATGACAAAATGCTGAGGAGAAAGATGTGGCCTGTGCCTGTGCTTCTTCTACAGAAGGGGATTGGCTAAGAAACAGGAACGAAACCCATGAAGGACATGTAATACTTTTCGTCTGTCCTGCTTTTGTTTGGGTGGTGACGCAGCTGCAGCAGAAAAACAGGAACAGTCTTCCGCTAAGTGAAGAAGAGGAAAAAGTGTACAGACCTACCACCAACAAACAGATGCAAGCATCTTTTTTACCCCCTCTTGTGCTTCTAAGGGAGAGCCCGTGTGAGCAGAGCTTCTCCCATTGTTTGGCAGGGAGCCACACGGTCATCTGAACAGCCGTGAAAGAGCAGAGGAAGAAACCTCAAGAAGGTAGTACAGCAACCAGCAGAGACAACTGGATCTTCCCATCTTTCATTCCATGGATAGACAGAGCTGGAAGGGGAGTACACTTTATTCCTTGGGACAGAAACACTGCGTTTCTCATCTCCCTGCCCTCCTTTCACAAGCAAGGAAATCAGTACAGGTACGCTCTAGAAGGACCACCACCACTCCCCAAGACACAAGCACTATCTACCAAGTCTGAGATTTCACAGTCATAAAGAGGAGAAAAAGAAGGCAGCACTAACAGAAGAGTTCTGAAACCTGACACCTGAAAACCCCCAAAATTGGCATTCATACATATTAACAGATTTGAAAGAAACTCCCTCTGTTCTCGCTACTTTTCCCCCCAAGATGAAACACCAACGGGAATCAATAAAATACAACCTCTGATAATACAGGGGTAACGATGTCAATACACCATTAGATTCCCCGGATATCATCTCACTGGAGGTTCTAGCTGTTATGAGTTACTAATGTTACACTAACAATATACATAATGTTGCAAAAGTGATACTTACCAAATGTGTCTGAGGCCTGTAAGGTGAAGACATGTGCAGACTTCTCAGTTGGTCTTCCAAAGCGAGTAGACGTTCTTCTAGCTGCATTTCTAACTCCTGCAGCTCCATGCGGACAGATTTTCTCAAGCTCTGTAGCTGATCAGCTTCGTATCTATACAAAGTTCATTACAAAAAGAACTGCAGCATTCACTGCACTCAGTTGCACTCTGCTAAGGGGAAAGTGAGGGGGACGGTCCTGCGAGTAAAGAACTCCGTGCAAGAGAAGTCAAATTGGAACACAGAAAATTAGCTGAAACCCCTAGATAGAAAGGGGATCTTTCTACACTTAGAGAAATTAAGTGGAGAGGAAATATAACATTTCAGGGAGAAAACTAAGCAACACGGTGCACTACAGAACATGCTCCCTAAGTTTTAACTTTAAACACTTAAATATATACAAGCAGAAGAAAACAGGCATTTATAGATAAACAAATTAAACAAATCCCATTAAAAAACAGTGGCAACAAAAATCACAGAGGAACACAGTAATCACATAATACTGCATTTGCATGGTTCTAATTCCCAAGCAATAGGAGCTAGAATTTGGTAAGGATGCCTTTATCAAAGAAGGCCAACTAATTTCTAATGTATTTACTTTTAAAATGAGTTAGTTAAGGGATGATTCAATGATGTAAAGTAAATAAATAAGCAATTTTGAAAATTGTTCAGATCAGCTGGATGGGGCTCTTGCTGCAACTCTCAGGGAACCCAGACACACAGAGCCAGAATAACGAATGCCATTTGTAACTTGCTGAGCAGAATCTGTGGGTTGGAAAAGCATTTGGATACTGCACTGTTCTTTTATTTAAAAAAAAAAAAAAATCTATAAAGGTGGAGGGGAAAAAAATTTAAGCCTGAAATCCTTAAGACATTTTTTAAACAAGCATTCCATAGTAAAAGTTAGTAAAATCCACAGCTGTGAAATCAGTTAGGAAAAGGAAGAAAAAAACCTAAGCTAATGAGAAACATGGATTAGAACATCAGAACAGAGGGGAATAAATTCTGGAATGAAGAGTTGTAAAGAACATAGTAAACAAAGTTTTTGGCAAAAACTCAGCTCCAGCCCTTTTAAAATCAAAACTAACAGATTTTTTGTTTTTTTTTTTTTTTTTTGCTGTGATTCGAGGAACAGCAACACATTTCTTGTACTAAGTACTTTCTTTCTCTCCTTTTTTTTTTTTTTTTTTTTTTAAAAAAGAGGATCAGTTTACCTTTCCTCCTCAGTCATGTGCTGATAGACAGTTGTCTGTTGACGTAACATAGTCAATTCCAAATCCATCATTTGGGTTCTGAATAAGTTTAGATTTCGCCTCACCACTTGTAGCTCCTGGAAAGTATTCTTTAAAGAAAAACAAAGTTACATGGAAAGTTTTATTCAAAAACATTAACATAGGTCCAGATCCTGTAACTGCATTTGTTCAGATGTACCCTCAGTGTCAAGCAGAGCCTCACCAACTTCAGTATACTAAGGCTGTGTGCTGCAAGCTCACAACAGTTCAAGAAAACTCATTCACTCTCATTTCATATTCATTCATTTTTAGATGCACCATACTAACAGCTACATGAAAGCAGTTCTGCACATTTAAATTAATTCCTTTTCAAAGTCATTTTCAGGATGGAGTTATTTGTTATCTGCTTAGAGCAAAGTATGGGAATTGTCCCACATTAGCACAGCCTGTGGCACATTTAGGATGTTAGTGTGTATTTTGTTTTGACTCAGAATCACTGTGTGAACAGGGTCACTTACTTCATAGAGAGGTAGAATGGATGATCTCTGAGTAGCAAAACCGGCAGCAGCTGAAAGATCATGACCTCTCATCACCGGATACTAGAAAAGAGGCAAATCGTTTGAAATGAGAATGCCAACAAAGCCTTTCACAAACTCATCTTCTCAAATGCTCAGATAGTCCCATAGCAGACACTACTAAAACACCATCCTTCTGGCATTGTGTTTTCAGCTATCAATACAACTGTTGTAACAGGAAAAGGAAACTTTACAAAATGGCAGTGTCAGCTCTTAACTGAAGCATGTGCAAAGCTCTGTAATGCTAGCTTGTTGAAGTTGAAAACCAAATTAATCCTGTCTGACACAGTGAACAGGAATGAAAATAAATAAATTGTTCTTGCTCCAGGCGTTTTATGTCCAAAAAACACGGTAGTCTCAATTGTCTAAGCTAATGATAAAAAGAACAACTCGGAAAACAGAGTTAAACAAATTAAACAAGTGTCCCATTCTCACATCATGATCAGAGTCATATTCTTTGTGGGGTTTTGCCCAGTTTTTAGGGTTGTTTTTGTTTTGTTTTGTTTTTAAATCTCATACTGCCTACATCCAAAGACCCCTTCATGCTAATGATCTCCTAGGAAAACACGATTGTTGAAGAATTTCTATTTGCATGTTGCATGAACTTATAGAGCAACCAGATACAACTCAGGGGCTGTTACAGGTAGAGACATGGCACAACAAAGAACAGTGGAAATAGCAAAAATATTCACATTTTCAAACATGAAAAAGACTGCTTGTCCAATACAGTTTTGAAAGAATTCAAAGGACTATTGCCACATCATGGAAAATTGGAAGCATGTCCCTTCAGTCAGAGGAGTTTTGCTCAAACATGATCACACCAAGCAGTTGCTTTGTTTTTCCTCTCCCAGTTTTCTCTGTTCCCTGTTCTACCAGGAATTTATCTGCTTCTTCTTATTCCTTCCTAAAAAACACAATCTTATATTCAGAACACCTCAACTATTTCTATAGCAGCTGAGTACATTGTGTGCCAAGCACCACCTCAGCTGTAGAAAAAGAGGCAGCAGCTAACTACATATTAAAAGCAAGACATTTTCATACAAATATCTGTAGTGAGAAGGACCAAGCCCCCAAAACAGAACTGGTCTTGACAAAGGGGACACGAGCTGCCATTATCCCCAACACTTCTTTTTTTTTTTTTTTTTTTTTTTAAAACTGAACTGACATGAGAATGACATAATACAGAGGTTACTACTTCAGCAGGTTTAGTTAAATGGTAAAAATACTGTAGCACATTGTAATCTTATACATATCAAGCCTGCAATTGGTACACACTAGGAAATTTAAGAAAGAGGGGCAAATTCTGCAAATGCTCACTCCCAGGTACACTGTCCCTCACCCTGAGCAACGACTAACTTAACTGCTTTTTTTTTTTTTTTTTTTTTTTTTTAAAATCTTAGCTTTCCACTGCAGAGCTGTGTCACGACACCAAAGCTAGCTCCAAGAAGCCAGGCCAGATGACATAATCAAAGTTAGGCTGGACTAGCCCCTAACTTTGACAAGCGAAAAAACAAACACCACAGTAAAACAATGTGACTCTTAAAAACAAAGAAAAAAAACCCCTAAGCCTACCTCCTACAATATGATGCAGCAGATAGATGTTTGTCATTGGATTAACCCCACAGAAATCACTGAGGCTCTACAACTGTATAGTCTTCATGTGTTCATATATAAACAAGCAGAGCCTGCAACTGCTCTGCCCACATAGCCACCTGCAACAGCTTGCAGGCTCCTAAATTGGATAGCCGTCTAAGAGAATAACAACACAGAAATCGTGGAGGAGGGACAGCTGGTAATCAGGAGTGAAGGAGCAGAGTGTGGCAGAAATTGGTGTAAAAAAAAAAAAAAAAAAAAAAAAAAAAAAAAAGGCTTGCATTTTAAAGCATTTTTTCCATGAGTAACAAGATGGCCAAAATTTCACACACTGTGACAAAAGCTAGTTCTTAAAGAGGCTGATGACTTCAGGATCACACAGATTAGTTCCAGAGCTGAACATGCAAAAGGCTGGCATGAAATACAGCTCAGAAATGTACATGGAACAGATCATCATCATTGACATCACTAGCGGAGCCATGAGATTTGCAATTAAAAAAAAAAAAGTTTCTATCAGTTGGACAGGAAGTATGCTAAAGAGAAGAGAGGTTAAAGGATCCTCAAAGGCAATATGTAGTTTCAAATCTAAAGCTAATGACTATCACCTTAAAATAAAAGCTGATGAAGTACACACTGCTCTTCCCTCCCCCCCCCCCAAGAATACTCATAAAAGTAAAAAATGAATCTGGACCAATTCTAATAAGAAAAGAAAAACCAAGGCAAAAATAGGAGAGCAGTGGAGAAATGATCATCTGCCACTTTAAAAAGAAGCTCCTAAATCAGTAGCGAATCAAATTTGTACAAAATGTCCTTCCCCCAACCCTCCATCTGCAGCACCACAAGAGGAGTATTAGGGAATATGTAAAGCCAGATTACCATTTTAGTTTTGATACAATAAAAAAACCCCTTGCCCCACATTGCTGTTCTGCATTTGTTTCTTCTTACCTGAGAGAGATTCTGCAGAGAGTTTCTGATATCATGTAGGACTCTGCGCAGCTGCATTTCTACGGTGGAGGGTGGATTGATGGCATGAGGTCGATGAGAATGTCCAGCGTGCCTTGGAGAGAAGGGACAGCCAAAAGGGGAAAGCGCAGCGCCAAAGGAAGAGCCGGAGATGCTTGGGACACTGTGGGTGCTCAGGGTCCTCATGTGTTCGCAGAGAGGTCTCTCCTGCCACTCGGAGTGAAGCGAGTGCAGGGAACACACCGACTGGGACATGGGTGCTGGGATGTGCAGCGGGCAGCTCTGTACCCTGGCATGACTGGGTTCCTCAGGCAGCCTGCCAGGTCCGCTCTGGGATATTTCTTTTTTGGAGGACGAAGGAGCAATAAACAGCGTGGATTTGCACACAGGCTGACTGGCAGCCGGCTTAACCTCCGATTTGTCATTCTCAGATGTCAGGTTCTCGTTGTCCTCTGCAGGGGTGTACTTGTAAGTGAAAGAAGGAGGACTGCACAAAGTCTCTTTTCCTGGAGTTAACTGGACATTCACAGAAGACACTACTTTCACTGGATTCAGTAATGCAGTTGGGAGAGACTGAGATCGCCTTAGTGGATAGCCTGATTCAGCAAACCAGCACCTCTGCTTCCTGAGGAGATCTTTTGATTTAAGCAGAGTGCGCCCTGCCCTGGGATCAGATGTGCTGATGATCTTCATCTGGGCTCTCTGCAGTGCCACATGGACCCTGTCCACTGAGGAAAGCGACGAGCCACCAGTTTCAAGAGATTCTGCTGGCTTCAGGATATGGTGTGTTTGGTACTGAGGAAATTCAAATGCACTGCTTTTGTCAAGATCACTTTCATCACTGCCTTCCTCCAGGAGCTCCAATTCTTTTTGCTCATTGGGAACATCTTCCCCTTTGGAGCTGACCTCTGCTTGAACTCTCTCTGATAAATGAGATGACTTGCTTTCTCCTTCTTGCTTTTGTTCAGTTTCATATTCAGGAATGTTTTTACTGTCTTTCCTTCTGTTGTCAGAAGATGCCTCTACCTTTCGTCTCTCCCTTTCAGAGAGCACATCCTCTTCTTCGTCTTCCTCATCCTCATCCTCCTCCTCAAACTTATTGAAAAAGGGCAGCTCCTTGGCTATCGGTGTTTTCTGTTCCTCACTATGCGACGTCACAGTTGTCTCACTGTCACAGCTGTCTGCACTACTTCCCATGCCCTGCAAAGACTCATGAACCTGCGAAAGGTAAGAGCCAGTGAACATACTAGAGACTCAACTACTGCCTTCTCAGGAGGCAGGCAAAGAGTCCGAGTCCACATTCACTGGGCATTGTGGTGGTGAGTAGAAAGAATAACCCAAAATGGATTTAGCGTTCAAGAGAAACCCATGAAAGGGAACAAGGAAACCACAGTACAAGATAGGTTAAAGCGTACCAAAGCATGGAACCAAAAGGAGACTGTTAAAAAAATGCTAGCAAGCAATCCGTACACATTTCTTCAACCTGAAAGTAAATTCTAAACTCCTGATTGCCAAAAGAATAAAAGTGGCAGTAGATCAGAACGGAAAAGACAAGCACCTAGGGAGCTTCACAGACTAATGGAATGGAAAGTGGAGAAAAAAAAAAAAAAAAAGAAGAGTAAAACGCTAGTATTTTAGGTAGTGATGACAAAGGAATAGCAGGTTGGAGGTATATGGGGCACCTTCTATATCCAAAGATTCAGACTCAGCACTGAAATCTAGGATGGTATAAGGGGTGCATAGAGAGAAATGAGGAGAATTACTGATCCTAGTGAAATTGCTGTCACAGGACAATACTAAGAATGGGGAAAAACTGTTTGCCTATACAGTCGCCCTGATTTACATCACAGAATTGCTTGACAGTGTGAATCTCACATTAGGCTGCTATCTCTGTTGAAGACCAAACCTGCCTCAGAATCTTTATTTTAGCTGTCAGAGATTAAGGGAAATACGGTTCCAGTTTTTCAGTCATCTCCCGCATTTCAGAGAAATGCTATGGCTGCTAGAGTCAATTATTTAACAGTAGATGGCACTAACTTACCATACTTTTAAGAAAACAATATACACCTCCCCCCTCTGTAGACCCTTCATCATCTTTTCACAGGTTCTCTTCATCAGCTGCCAAGTTCTCATTCTCCCTAGTCTCATCACTCATCTGTATTTTCTAAATTCATCTCAGTATTTTGGTCTAAATAAAGCAGTGAAGGTGGCAGAAGAGAGCCTAACAACTCCATAGCGCAAATCTCATACCATCACAACACATCTGTGCAAAACAACACAAACAGAAAAATCTCATTGCTTTATGACTAACACAAATAAACTTCATTGGTCTTCCAGTGAGACAAAGAATTTGCTTGCAGCTTGCTTTGATAGACTCTTAAACAGGTTTTGTTATCAATCTAAAGATCAGGAATGAGCAACTCTGCTCTGAGACTCCTTCTTCTAACATGCCCATCAACTTCAGTGTAATCCCAGTTTAGGAGGGAGTAGAACCAGCATCTAAGACTGTCAGGCTCATTGCAAAGACCATGGATCACATGATGCTCAAGACTTCCTCTATTCACTCTTTTGCTCTTAGTTAAGTGTAAGTTGAGGGGGATGCAAAGAATAACACTGGCTTGGTTTTCATTTTGGTACTCAGTTAAAAAAATTACTAAACAGAAAAGCACAGAATACCAGTGCCAAAACTAAAAGGCAAATTTTGATGGATAGGGTGGTGCGAACTTTTTCCTAGTAAATGCCACACAGCTTTTCAAATGTGTGTGGTGAGCCACAAGTTAAAACACATAGTGTAGCACCAAAAAAAAAAAAAAGAAAAAGAAAAAAAACACAAAACAGCTGCAAGCCACAGAAATAAAATTACAGAATTACAGGTGATACCCAGACTCCCATCTTTATATTCTTCCAGACTAGTTTATGGTTCAGATCCCAGACAGCCAACTGACGGTCTTGAGGCCAGGACCCAGCCCATACAGTAGTTTTATATGCCTGTCCAGCATGGCAACCAAATTGTCAGTATTACTGTGTGAATGTTTTAGGAGAGATGAGAAAACACGTCTCCTAAAAATCAGTTATGACACTAAGCAAATATATGTGCACTGGCCAGACATCCAAGCACCAGGCTGGAAAAAAAGCATCCCCTAAGCATGAAATATCTGGTCAATACCACTGCAAATTCTAGGACTAACATCAAAGGAACCGAAATAAGAAAGAGCACGGGAGTTTAGGATTGCCTAAACATCAGTATACCTTCATAGCAAAGTCAGTACAAAATTGTTTTCACTTTCTGTCAGCTGCTAAAGCTAACTAAAACAATAGAAAAATGTGCAAAAAAAAATCAAATGGGAAGGCAAAAATAATACAAGAAACGAAACAATCAGCAGAAAAGTCACATTCTTTTGTTACCTTCCTCTTTATTCACTGGAGTCATAAGAGGAATGGACTGATTCTGGAGTCTTAGCTAATGACAAAAGATACACCAAAAACCGTGAACAGGAAATACTGAATTTAAGCTTATTCCAGACCCCAGTATACTCAGATTATCCTACTAGAAGGACTTTAAAATTTTAATCCGGCTCTGCAAGAAACTCAGCAGGTTAAGTTTTGCGAATGCAAAGTTTTATCAGGATCTAGACTGACAGTCACGACAGAAGTCAAGCATCAGCATCCCTCCTTGGCCTCAATTCTACCACAATAATTTGCAAGTATATCAACCAAGATATGAGCAGCTTACCTGAAGATGATTAAACGAGAAACAATCTGTGGAGGAATCTTCTGCGAAACCACTGCTGTCAGAGTGCTGACTAGCAGTCCGTAACAGCTGATCTATTTAAAACAAAGCAAAACCCAGCTGTGATTAGTTCACAAATCCCAACCTTTTAAGCACAATTACATTTAACACATGCTTTTCTTTTACATCAAAGTAACAAAAGTAGATGATACAATTCTTTCTCAAGTTCCTCACTGAACAACTCAGAAAAACAACTTGCTTGTTCCAAGCATATAAAGTACAAAACCCTTTCTCATGCAAAGATTTACTTGTGAAGTTTCCAGCAGCAGTGGAAGAGTAACCATCTTCCACGTTTTTCTTTCTTGTGCTGTGGAAACGAAAACCTATTCTGCTGAGGTTGCCATCAGTGCGGTTTTCCTTCCACAAAACTGAACTACTGGTTAATTCACATGCAGTCAAAGGAACAGCTGCTTTTGTATTATTGACACGTGCTGAGTTGCCATCCCTCCTGATCACAGAGATACAGGTGACCACTACTCTACTGCCAGCTTTCCCTATCCAGAGGGACAAAACTACATTAGCTGAGTTGGGGATGCACTCTTTAGACTTCTGTAAGTCACTGACAGGACTCTGAAAACTGCTGGAGACGCTCCTTCACTGGCTTAGCCGACAAACGCAAAACAGCTCTAACACATCAACTGGCAGGCTGCCAAGGCACATTCCCAGCGCTCATTCTCTGCACTGAAGATAAGATCCTTCTGCTTGTTCTCTTCTACTTACATTAGATAAAGTGTTAGAACAGTCCAAAGAGACTCGGTGCTACCCAGGAGCGGTTTCCTCTGGCGCAAGCACTAAGCTCACAAAGCTACTTTTCAAAGAGATCTCAATGAGCTCTCCGGTACTGTATTACATGGCAGCGTACTGTTCACTCCTGGACACAGAAGGCACTTATCAAGTGTGGGGTTTACCTTATGGCACCATGAACATTTTGCTTAGGCAGATGGCAGCCTAGGCAACAACTATATCTTATCTCCAGTTCTCGGCGGCGCTGTAAAAGCTTGGATGTGGGATGAGGTTACAGCAGCCTTTAGCCTCCACATCCCCACCTTCTCCTGCCCCAGCCTGAGAGTTGCTGTGTTTGTGGAGGTTTACTGCTGAATTTCGCCCCACATTCCTTCAACCACTTAACTGTCATCATATAATTAATCCCAGTTCATAGCTCAATGCATTGGAATGCACTGTGAAAACTGTTTTGAAACTGTTGGATATTCAAAACTAATTTTTTAACATTACTGTTGATGAACACTTCACTAAGGCAGAAATAAAAGCCTGCAAACAGCCAAACTATCCTTTAAAACTTTTATATCAGCTACTTCATGCAGCTTTTAGTGAGTGCCTTTCAAACTGTGCTGCTGTTCTGTTATCACGGTAGCCACAATATCCTGCAATAACAAACACCTTTTAACCTCAAGACAGATAGCCCCACCCAACTGCCATCACAGAGTATGGAAATGACTTCATTAAATTGGACGAGCTCTTATTAAGTGCCCGGTACAACTGATACCTCTGAGAGAGCATTCCAGCATCAGGTTATCATTGCTGGTGGGAAGCTACCAGCTTCTCCGTGCTGAATAATCCTCCCCGTCTCTTTGCCCATTTGATGAACGTTAGTTTCAAAGGAAAAAGCACCTCTCATGAAAGCCTTAGCCACAGGGGAGAGATTCCAAATAGTTCAGATAAAGCAATTTACCAGCCTCTGTCCTGGCATCTGTTTTCACCAGCATAAAGTTTATTATGGCTCAAGAAATATACTGACCTGCCCTCCTACTTCCTTCTCAGTCAATATTTCCTTCTCAATCACAAACAAGCAAACAGAAAAAATTCTCTCCTAAAAATCATTTCTTGCTCTGCTGGGAGACACAGTACTAAAGTCAAAATCAGTATTTTAGATCATTTTCCATAGTATTTGTTGTTCATGCACATGCCCTTGATAGCCTTACATGACAGATACTGCCAGTCAAGTGGCCATTCTAGGCTGGAGGCACCTACATGTGCCTCGTCCTCCTTATACATGGCAAGAGCCTTGCACAGCGTGAAGGCATTCGGATCTCCTTGGTGACACCTAAAGAGACATCCCTTTTATGCAGCTATCTCTTCTTTTCTGTGTTGCTAAGGTGCTTGTAAGGAATTTTTTGGAATGCTTTAAACCTAAGTAGAGGAGACATTTTTTGCAAGTATTTGAAGTCTTTTTCTACCATACTTCACCTTTGCCTCTTGCATGTATGTTCTCTGGAGTGCTCCTCTGTACCACTATCATGTAAATGTAGCGAGTACTTTAAGGAACAGGAATTTCTGCTACTCCAGTAGCGAAATGGCTTCTGTTTGGCCAACGAATGGAAGCGTCTGGCTCTGCATAGACTGGAGCTATCTACTACTACACTGGGGTATACCGATAGGCAATGGTAGCCCACCCTCCTTGTCAGCTACTGATCCAGATATTCAACCCACCCCATGGCTCTTGGATGTCTCCGATCCAGGCAGATGAGGGCAAAGGATTAAAAAAACAAAACAAAACAAACAACAATGAATTACCTTCAGATCTTGGTTAAAAAGGCTTCTGGCAACAGAGTCCGAAGAGAAACAGGTTGTGATCATATATGCCTCCCCTCTCCGCCTTGAACACAAACAACTCAGCACCACGGGCTGGGTTGTAGGGGCTCAAATGGCTTCACCCCTTGCCCAAGAAAAACGTGAACACTCTTTGGCCAGGAAGGTTGATTCAAAGACAGTTTCCTTCACACAAAACAAAGAAATACAGTAGCACAGCACTCTCTTCTCTGATCTCAGAAGCCTTCAAATTACCCCCACTAATGCAATTATACCTGCCAGAAAAAAGGTCACTGCACAATGCCAACCTTGCAGCCCAAGGCTATCATCAACATTTTTAGAGGAAACCTTCTCAACTATCAGGAGGAGGCCAGAGCCAGTATACTAAGCAAAGTGTGGGAAAAGGAACTGGACAAGATGAACCAAAAAAAAAAAAAAAAAAGGAACAATCAAATGCACGTCCCAGTTGAACTGAGCACAAAACAAAAATGCCCTTTGGGTGATTGTTTTAAACTCTATAAAACAAGAAAATATTTTTAGGAGCTGAATACATGCCAGAGAAACGTGGGTACTCAAAAATACATCAAATAAGCTGACAATGTTCTAAACAAAAATAGATGATGAAGAAACAAGTCTATGGTTTACAAAACATGACAGCACAGATTAATCATTATCAAATAACAGAGTAAATTAGTGTTATCTATTGTACAATAATATTCAGCTCCCAGTGGATTGTGATTCTCACCGTTCCAAAACAGTCCTATCAAACACTCGTCTGTTCTGCGTCACTACTTCCGACATACAAAAGAAGGAGAAATTATATGGAAAGTACTTGTGAAACTTTAGTAACGTTTTTGTCTCTTGCATCTGCAGTACTGGCAAAGCTCTAATCTACTTTGTATTTTAGGAGATTATTAATAAATTGATATTTCCAACTTGGCTGCAAAGAATCCTATTATGAGATAGAAGGTACTGCTGCCTCTTCTCCCCATATTTATCACACACTGCACCACAGGACTACCAAAACCAGACCAGGAGGGAGCACTGCTACAAAAACTTTTGAAAGTGCCCGAGCATTTCTTAGCTTCTGGACAGATAAGCACAGACTCCTGCAAATATAAACTCTGTTCCAAGTGTACTCTTCTCATTCCCCCATCTCCTGTCTGCTGTGGAGCTGTGCATACGAAGAGCTATAAATATGATAATATAGTAAAGGATTGAAGAATGCACACCAGCACTTTCTCTTTTAAGGACTGAATTTTCAAAACTAGTTACTGCTTTTGCCTATCAATGTGAAATAGCTTTGTGGCTGTTCAAAAATTTCACAAAGCCATTGATATCAGCAGCCTCACACTCGCAAATCGCAATGCTTGAAGAATACTTTGTTCTCTACGTGTTGCACCTCTATTTGTCCTGTTGGGCATTTTTGAAATGGAAGGCACTGTTGTATAAATACGTCACGAAGAATTTTGTTTTCCAACTAACAAAGCTTCCTTCCACATAACTTTGCAATAGTGTTTTTTTTTTTTGTAGTGGACATTTAGCAGCCCTGTGTGTTTACAGTGCAAAGCAATTGAAGCTTTTCATTCTTTTCTACTATGTCCCTTAAAAAAATAAACAAACAAAAAACCCAAAAACCACACACACATGCAAAAGCATATCTACATTTGATGTTTGTAATAACAGAGACCAGAACTCCAGTTTTCGGCATAAACAGATAAACTAGCTCAGTACTATCTCTAGGACAAAAAAGTCCTAAAAAGTACATCAAGCCAGTCAATATGATAGAGAATTCTTTGTACCCCTTATGAAGTGTTTAACAAACAGAGACATTACTATAGCAAAACAATAATTTGCAACCAATTTTCAAGTATTTTTTGCCTGAAAGATTTCTTCAGGCATGTCTTAATAGTCTTCAGACTATTTCAGTGGGGAAGAAAATTTTTTTATTCAGATACCTCACATCTTATTACAGACCCTCTTAAAAATGCTTACAAACTGTTGTAAATGTCAAAGAAAGCATCCAAAGTCCTCTTCGTAGAAATAAAAAGACACTCCAAGGTTTATAACATTCTGTACTGAACAACACTAACCCTGCTAACAGATATAGAAATACCCGTACACAAAAAAGTACAAATTTGTACCTAGAGGGGAAGCATTCACATGGAATAGCTTTTTGTTTGTGGCCCCATGCTCACGTAGGGTAGAGCCAAAGTCACTGGAAGAGGTGAGCCTGTATGACAGTCATCATTTGAAATCACAGCGTAACAGAAGACCAGCACTTGAATTTCACACTGAATCCATCTTAAAAGATTGCTAGTGAGACCAGAATTTAACACCCAAACCCAATGGCCAGCATTTTCAAAGCGTGCATTAACTCTGGATGCCTTCAATTTGGTGAGCACTTGTTCTCTGAGAAAACAGGCCTCTACACTGTCTCATGTTAGACATCCTGCAAAAAAAAAAAAAACTGACTACTGGTTTTTAAAGTTTTAGGTAAGTTCCCCACCGAATGCTCTCCTTCTCGGCAATCTCACAGAAACCCATGTTGAACAACACTGTAAGATTTCCACATCTTCCACGTTAAATAAAACGCTGGTCTCAGAGTAATTTTTAATGAATGTGCAGCTCTACCATCAGCACCAACATCCTTATTAGATAAGTCAGCTGAGAACTCCAGGCTATACTGGCATGAAAACAGTCTAATTTATGTGAAGTGGGTTCAGATACAGGTGGGATACGCTAGATGGGAAACATGAGATAGCACGCCCTGCTCCTACCATACCGAAAGCCCATTGCTAGAACTGCCTGGTGTCTTTCAACGCCTAAACACAGGATCTTCCAATTACTTTTCCTTGCATGGAGTAAGAAGGAGGTGAGATAGCACCAGGAATACAAAACATAAAATTAAAATTTAGGAGGAGGGAGGGGGGAAAAAAAAAAAAAAAAAAAGTTCTTTTCTCCTCCTTCACTGCAGCTCCGAATTCCTTAAGTCTTCTTTATCTGAAAAGCTCTTTTCGTAACTACTGAGGCCTGGCAAACAAGAAACCTAACCTGTAAAGAGTGCATCTCGGATATATTACCTGCACTAACCTATTGCCCAAGGGCTTTAACCCAGAGCAAACAATTGCTTGAAAGCATGTAATCATGAACTTTAAAAATAAACAACCAAGTCAGAAAAGCTAGGAACAGTCAGAGATGCAATTTCTGGCAGTCCCTCCTTCTGACCTATATTCAGAACAGAGGAAGGCCAGCAAGTGCAACTCTGTCCTACAAAATACTGCTGAATCTCTAAAACAAGCCATCCCTAATAATCAGTCATTAACCGTCAGAGCTTAGTCCAAAGCATTCTCAACCACATTAACGCAATTCAGCCGAGAGTTCAAAAGCTGTCAATTTATTTATGAAACAGCAAATGATCTCTTCAGTTGATACTTAAAATAGGTTTCCCCTCTCTTTCGCCTTCTTGGTGAAACATGACTGGCTAGCCACATAGCAAATGCATTGAAGCTAAGCATTTCACTAAATGCAATAAGCTCTAGTTCTTCTTTAATTACACATGTGTCAGCTGGAGAACAGACTTCACTTGCTCACATAAGGTAAAGGGCAGTAACTATCACAAAATGAATTTAAACATCAGCCTTGCCTTCTCCTAAGCCATAAAATATAAATAACAGTTTGAGATGAAAGCACAAACTAAACGTGCTACAAAAGCCAGTGCACAGTTTGCCCTTTGAAGGGCTACGATTTCCACGTGGGTGCAGAGACATTGGTCCTTTGTGCAGCTAACACGCACATGAAGCGGCAGCATATAGGAGAGAGCTGAACGTATCATACAATTTAGGTTTAAAACAACATAATTTTAGTTTAAATGAGTATCTTAAATTACAGGATCTACGAAGGAAAAAAATCCCATACAACCTGAATTAACGTTTCAGATTCTCTGAGCCATCATCAACGGTACAAAAGTCAAAACAGTCACTGAGGTTATAGGGCTGTCATCTTGTCTGTAATCTGGGTGCCACTTTGCAACAACGTTCTAAGCTTTTAAATGTAATTGAAAAGGAAACAGATTTTTTTTTCTTCTAAGGGGAAAATAAACGTTGGAGGTTTTAAATATCTGAATCAGCATTTCAGAGAGGGAAGGACACTCAGCAGATTGTTGTCACCTGGGAACAGAAGTCTACTTACCTTTCCTTGATTTAGCCACTACCAGCTGGTGAGAAGTTGGAACATGCGGGAGATCTCCCTCTGTACTCTGGATCTACAGAAAAGACAAGACAAATATTTTGTGAGACCAACTGGAAGGTGTTCCCATGCTTAAAAATGGCTAAGCTCTATAAACTGCACAAGCTTTTTAAATCCAACAGCCTATAATGGAAGATAGTCAATGGTATGTCCGCTGACCAAAGAATATTACTTCAGCTATTCCGTAATGTCCCTGTAAGACAACAGTGGGTCTTAGAATAGTACCTCTCTCAAACAAACAAACAAGAGCAGAGATCCCCTCCGATCACATTCATTATGCAAAAAGACCTAGGACAATACTGAGAATTCTCAGCTCCCCTTTGACAAAAGGCTGAAATAATAGTATGAAAACACCTCTAGACATCTTTACTCTAGTACTGCCTTTTCCATTTGGTGTTCTTGACCCTTCATTTGAATATAAAGAACAAAAAAAATACATTTAGAAAAGCATATGAAGAGACCAGCCGGCGAGGAGCGTCATCTGCTGCCCTACCAGGTATTTCTCCAAGGCCTACAAGCCACCAGTTCTCCAGAACAACCAAGGTCTTGCCAGAACCTACTCCAAACTTCACTACATTATTACTCGTGAAAATACTTCTTGTATTTTCCAGTACAAAAAAGGCAGATCATGTATTCAGAATAATAAGAAAACTTAAAACTACAATATGTGGGAAAACTAATCCTGTTACTTAATCATTTTGTGAAACAAAGTCTTATTAAGAAAGCAGTTCTTGGACAACTATTCAAACAATGAAAAGAATAAGCCTGAAACCTCAACAGGAAGGCCTTTGTTTAGTTTGAAAGCTAGAATACATTTTCTCTTTTGTGTGCTACAAGAAAAAACTAGGGGTCCACATGCAAGTCTACACTAAAAAAAACAAAAAAAAAACCAAAAAACCATACACACAATATCCCTCCCACCCTTCCCTCTAAACAGGCTGCCTGTCTAATTTCAAAATTAAGTAATAGAAGCAATTCAAGCAATGACATTTTCATCTCCATTCATGACAAACTTAAAAACACAAGATCAGGACACTCATGTTTTTAAGCCCAAATTAGTATCCATCTAAAGAAGAAACTATTAACTGCATTGATACCATGTGCATAGCATCCACAAGGGTGCATCTTCTCGGATGTGAGGGAGTCAAGAAGTACTAGGCCTGAACTTTTCACCATTAGTAAGTGAAGAGAATTACTCTGGCAAAACAAATGGAGAGGCTCCTATTCCTGTAGGAGATGCAGGCTGTACCAAAAGGGCAAACGATTATTCTGTGAAAATGCAGGGGAACACAGAAAAGGCTCACCAGTTAAGTTTACGAAAAGCACCTTTTTTCAAAAAGCAGCAACAATAACAAGCAACCTTGTTACAGGCTGGCCTTCCAGGAAAGATAACTTAATTCTCTGAAACCTCCCAGTTCCCAGCTGCTAAATTTGCAGCCTCCTGACAGCCCAGCCCCTTCTCATCTAAATACCTTCCACCTCCTGTCCTTGGCCGAGACGCAGCACGCTGGTTATGTCGGCAACGCGGCTGCATCAGCTCACAGCAGCCGCCCCTTCTCCTTCCCCGTCTCTTTAGCCAACATGGACGTGAAGGGCCCTAGTGCTTCTAACTGGCTCACTCGGGAGGGGGTGTTGGAGGGAAATCCTGCCCTGACTCACTCCTGTGCTAGCTATCTTCACGGCAACACACTTCCTAACGGCGCCCAAGCCTCCGAGGCACGAGCAAGCACGGAAAGAGCTTCCTCGCTGTATCAGTCCTCTTTCTCGTGTGTATGAATGCATTCCAAACCAAGCTGGGAGCACAGCGGGAGGAGTTATTTTCACTGCTTCTAACACAGTTTATTGTTCTTTATACCCCACTTAGAGACACACGAAAAAAACATAATCAAGCTGCCAGGTATTGTTCTGAAGTTTCTTTACCAAAGTCGAGTCCCCTCCCTCCCAGGAATCTGAAAGCAGTTGATATGTATATATTATATTGCGTAAACAAAAATTCACCACAATCCCATCCCACATCGTATGTCAGCTTGCCAAAACAGCTGTGTTTATGCACTGGCACCATTGCAAAGTATGTCAACCAAAACTTCACAAACGCACTGCGTTTGGCTTGTACAGAGTGTAGCTAAGTCTTCCTCATTTCATAACCCTTTACAGTCCAACTTACTCAGAGAGAAAAGTCCACGGAAGCTGCCTGCCTTTTTGTTTGTTTGCTTCGCTTTGTCCCAGAGTGCCAAACAACAGAAAACGGATTTCTCATCTGGGATATGTGAAACCAGCCTAGCTATCAGGAACGTAGCAAAATGCATCACCGCACAGACTCCTCCCTTTCTGCCAACACAAACATCTGCACAGCTACACAACAAGCTGGATCAAGAAAATAATCCGACTGAAAATTAGGCCAGGAAAAATAAAGAAATTAGAATACGTTGGGTTTCTTTTCCCCCTTCTCAAGCTGGATCCGTTCCTTGTTCTGGTTCAGTAGATGGCCGCGCAACCGGTGGGTGATGACACAGGCACAAACAAACAGCAGGAACTGCAAGAGCCTGGACTACTTCTTTCTACAACGGGTGCCTTCAGTAACAACTTTAGTTGATCCAGAAGGGCCTTAAAAACCTGCAATGCCTGTACTACATTACACACAGCATCTGCTAAATTACACAAATTATCTGCTAAAATCACAAATTAAAGATAGCCTTTGCCATTTGCTGTAAGGCTCTGGGAGTTTTCTCCACCCATTTCAAAAATGAGATCGCAATCCTTCATTTTACATAACTATTTCACATAGATAACAATTCAGCAGTTAAACTCTGCAACAACAGCCGCTTAGAAACACGTCCACAAAAACATCTGCTGACTTAAGACAGATCTTGTAATTGAAAGTGCGAGTCTATGCAGCAAATTGCATTCTTGAATTCGTAGGCTGCACATTTACTAGCCTAATAAACAAATCGCTTACAGGAACCTGGGAATTAAAACCCCTTCGGGACAATTATCAATGAAATAAAATGGACAAATGCGTTTATGAAGATAAATAACAGGTGGCTGACAGAACTGGTAACTAAGCCACTTCAAAAGGCAAATCGAAGAGTGACTTCTAGTACATTCATTTCTAGAGATTAAACAAGGCAACATACAGTGGATTGCCATCCAAATCAGAAACTACCTGAAATGAGAACCCTTCCCTACATGATAGCCCCTTGCCCTTTAATGCAATAGGCTTTTGTTTCATGCATAAATTTATCCTTAATCAGGAGCAATTGATGAACTGAACGTACTCTTAGGCAACAATAAATAAAGACTTTCAGTCAGCAATTTAAACAAAGTAAAAATTTAAAAGCAAAGTCCTTTACACATACACAGTCCAACCTACATCTACTTTTCACAGGAAGAGACTGTTTAGGAATAGAGACGTTCACACCAACTTTTGTCAGTGACTGTAACAATCTTAACTCAATCGAAAAAAGAATGAGAAGATTCATGCGGACTATCAGGAAAAACAAAAGGAAGTTATTTCAGTAGGAAGATCCATTAGAGCAGCCTGCCAAGAGAAAGTGACAATTGTCCTATCATTCAGAGAGCTTGAAGCATTCCTGGAGAAAACACCATCGAATGAATACAGTGGAGGGAACATTCCACTGCTGGCAACCATCAAGCAGCGTAAACCGTACGCAAAAACAAAGCCAATTATTTCCACCTACCTCTTCCATCTCAAAGGAGTCCTTCTGCTGCAGCATTAGATTCATTATGGATGGATTTGCTACAGGAGCACAGGGTTCTTTACCTGGCGATGATGTAGGAGGCCTTTGCATCTGAGTGCTACTTTCAGACTCACTAGATGCGTTAGAATCACTGCTAAGGGTAGAGTCCAAAAGATGAGATTCTTCACGTGGTCTGTCTTGGGGGCTTGCCAACTTGCTATTTGGTGCATCTGCTGAGGGCACAGCGCTCTCCTGCCCATGATTAGTTCCAGCAGGAAGATTTGCAGATGTGTGTGTCTCTGTAGTATTTGTCTGAGAAGCGGCCATCTCCTCCTTTACAGTAGCCAGCAAAGAGGGGGAGTCTTTCTTTTTAGAGTACTTTGGTAATTTAGATTCACTTTTAACATCGTCTTCCTCACTCCCTGGTTCCACTGGACTTTTCCCTTTGTCAACAGGGGACGGAGTTGAGCAGCCGCCGCCATCGGCCTGCTGCGTGCCACAAAGATTGAGCTTTGATAAGGTCTTCATTAACCGACTGGCTGTATTGCTTCGATTTAAAGGGGGAGGGCTGGATGCCTCTTTGCTGGAAGACACTGAATTCATACTGCCAATTTTCTGTAACGGAGTCCCAGAGACTTGAGAATACAAAGAAGAAAAGGCATTGGCCACAGTAGTAAGCACTTCAATCTGACGAAAACGACCTGCGCAAGAACAAAGCATAAGGCAGAGTTTATGAGGATGTTTGGTGTCATCACATCTCAGAACAGCTGATCCAGCTCTACATGGCTGTTCACAGATAGCTCCTCTCTTTATATTTGAGGACAGAATTTCATCACAACACAACCTGTCCCTCACCCCACATCTCCTTCTTATATGAAGGGTCCCTAAGATCAGCTGAACACGGTTCAGTCCTGTAACCTGGAAGAGATACCACAGTTTATTAAGAAACAGAAAAACCTTTGCAAGAGCACTTGATAAACACGCAAAGAGAACAGCATGGGAAGCTTTCACAAAATAAAAAAAGGGACACAGGTATGCAATTTCAAGTTACTTTACAAAGTGTTAGCAAGAAAAGGGTTACTCAGATTGATTGCCTTCTCCATCTACAGCTACAACAGGACATTTCAGCTATGCCTGCATTTCAGAAACATTCATTACTGACCAAAGCTCCCAACAAAGTCAATGGAGATACTAGCACAGATCTTAACAGCTACAGAAGGAGGTCAGTATCGAGCGCTTTCAAAAATCCCAGCTGATACTAAGAACACGTGAAAAGACAGCTATTGCTATTTTTTTCAGTGCTCTAAAGCTACAACAGCAGACAAGCTTAAAAGCAAGAGACAGGAATGATACACAAAAGAGAAGGCAACAGATCTTACAGGATGCCTTTCATTTCCCTCCCCACTATAAATCCCATCCCTTCATCCCCAGGTGTACAACACTCATGGTCATCTCCTGCCACAATTAACACCAAGCAAGATTTTTATTACAGATTCTGAATGGAATTTCACCTTTAGACTGCAAAGGTTTTTCCTTTTTAGCCAGCACATGAAATATAGACATTCTTTTGAGGTTGTTTACACACTTGGGAAAAAACTTCACTTCAAAAAACATACTTACTTGTTAAGGCAAAATTTGGATTTTCCACTTCCATGCGTTGCATTTGGGCATTCAAAAACACTTTGATATCTATCCCTCTGGCAAATGATGATGAATTAAAAAATCTTGCTGGAATTTTTGAAGCAATATCTGGTTCATCTCTTCCAAACCCAAGGTTATAGAGCACTTCTTCTGGGTCTTCCTCATAAAGCTCCAGTAATTCAGAAACGCTACAATGAAAAGATGTTTACTCTCTACGTGTCTCCTTTTAGGATATGACCCCTTCTGTTCAATTGCTAATTCAGCCCACTAGTCAGTTTTGCCTACTGAACTGTTGACTGCTGCAGCTCTGTCGATTTTAGGAAATAATTTTGGAGCTATCTGCGTCTGAAACATTAGTTCACGCCACCAGAGACATCGGCCCAGCTGCATTTGCAATCCAATCTCATCAATTATTAAAGGCAGCCCTTATTCTGCAGATCACTGTTTTCAAAACGTCATTAACATTTCAGATATTTCTAAGATTTAGGCCCTTTCATAAGTATCTATTGCAAACCACAACTGAAAACAAATAGCAGTTTTTCAAGCAACCAAATGAAAATTCCCTTCTCAGCTACTAAATACAACAATGCATATACATCAAGCCAAGTCTATTTAACTTGGGAACAGAAGAAATTTTGCCAGCAAAATAGTGCCAAATTCCACTGAACTGTGCCATGACCTTGAAAGTATAGTACTCTTTTACCTTGAAACAGTTGCACTGCTTTTTCCAGACCCTGTGGAGTTCATACTTCTTCCCTTCTGGTGAAACTGAAGTCTCCTCTCCTTCGCCAACATACCATTGCTGTCAAGACAAACGGAGAAGTCCACTGTGATAAACTGGTTTCTTTCAGCAATTCAATTCTCAGTCTCTGAGCAGAACTAAGTCTCCAACCCTTCTGAATGTCTCTTTTCCCATTCAATGTTATCTGGTTTATATTAGCCATGTCATTTATTGAAGCGGAGTAACAAAAGTGAACCCTGAGACGCCTCAGTAAAAATGGACATATATACTCTTAAGAAATTGAAGGCAAATGCAAACCAAGAAAAAAACCCCCTAGTCTTCCCGGAGCTGCCCCTCCCTCTTGGCTCCCACCCGCCTCCAACAAGGAAGCCCAACCTTGGGTACGATGCCCTTCCCTTCCCCGTGCCTATACCGCCTCTGACGGGACCACCTCTTCACATCGCAGCCGCTCACGGCTCAACGCCTAGTCCCACCTCGCCTTTGGCTGTGAGGCAGCTTTCAGCTGCTTCACCCCCACCGCTTCCCGCAGCGGGATGGAGGCTGCGACCCGTCAGCAGCAAAAAGCTCATGAGCCGCCCAGCCAGGCGGCCGAGGAAGCTGAAGGGAGCCCAGGCTGAAGGAAATGGAGCAAGACGGACTCCAGTCAGGACTCCCAGCCAGTTTCTTTCCCAATCCCAAACCATTTCCTCCCTGAATCTCTAGAAGCTGCCTCACCATTAGCTACTACCCTCTTGCTCAAACATACCATTAATGCCAACCTCTTCATGGGACAAACCTTCCACAGGGGAAATTTACTGTATAAATCCTAACACACAAAAAGCAGAACAGCCACTAAGAAATCTAAGAAAACAGCAGTTTCACCTAAAAGCCCATTTTCGGGAGCCCCTCTCAGAAAGAGCAGTAAGGGAGCTGCCCGTGTAGACTGTGCCCGTCATTTGCTAAAGCCTCTCCAGGGGTTTTGGTTACAGTACATCTCTACAAAGCAGGAACCTCTCTGCCTCCTCTCTCAAAGTCTTTCCTCCCCCCTCTGAAAGGACATCTGCTCTGAAAGGCAAAACAAGTTTTCCCTTGAAATTCCTGAAATGTCCAGGCATCAGCGAGCCAGAGAAAGAAGGTAAATCATACTAACTAAATTACTTAGAAAATTTGTTGGTTTTTCCCCTGTTTTCCCTCTGTTCCCAGAATCTACATCAGGTCTGCCAGAAGAGTAAAAATCTGCATTGTTCTGCATTTCTAAATGACTGTTTTTGTACCACCTGTAACTTCTCTTTTCCTCATGAAAACTCACAGGAACAGAACAGCCTTAGTCCTGAGGTAGCCTACGTTACTTCCACTGCACCCTTTCCCTCACTCATTCCAATATAAATATTTTTCTGAAGAAAACAAAAAAGGAGATGTTTACCATGTTTCCATTTGGGTATCACTCCGCAGATGATTAGCTGTACAGAAACAAGAATAAGTTACACACAGACCTCTTCAGTATTACACTACTCATAACTGATATGGAAAAGTAGCCAATGAGCACTTTTCTGAATGCTACCACATAAACCAGATTTCTCTCTTTCCATATAATAAGATTGTCCAGTGTTTCTAGTGCACAGCTGATGTAAAGGTGATCTGGTTTCTTCAGGCTCTGTCCTAAATAAACATCTCACAAGGACACAAGCTTACATACTGTAATTATTCATATTAACTTGAAATTTTACATGCTGCAAGTTAGTAGTTGTTATATAGAGAGACAATTTATTTTGTATAATTTAAGACACGATTACTGGCTGAAGGGTTTTTCCACAGACAGGAAGGGGGAGGAGAAGAAGAAGAGAATATATGAAGACTCTGCTCACTTAGGGAAAAAAAAAAAAAAAAAAGAACGTAAGAAATGAATCTGGCTCCCATGGCCAGGTACTGAGACTATGTTCTTCAGTCTTTAAATCACGACAGCTAACTCTCAGCTGGGGGGCAGGCCCAGGCTCTTTCAGCTGCGCAATTTCTAAACAAAAGCTGTGTGCAGCGCTGATGAGACCAGTCACTGCGCTCTGACTCCCAAGAAGGGCTTTCTGCGGAGGCCAGCCTTCAGATACCAAGCACCTCGTCACCAGTTTCATGCATGGAATATAGTATTATCCTGAGGCTGAAACACTTCAGCTCCACATGCAAACATCCTAGGCGGCATTATTCTTTTAGAAAATCAACATCCTGTCAAACCAGAGAGTTGAGCCCTTGCCTTTAATTACTAGCTCCCTGAAGCGGCGACTCAACATTAACAAACCGGCCACAGGAGACAGGCAAGGAGTGTGTGTGTCATAGCAGCCTTCCGAATTAGCTATGAAAAGAGTGAAGTTATGTCAAACATTCTGCCAGGAAAACCCTGCATCGAAACGAGCTGTGCCCCAGGAGAAGCGAGCAACACAGAGCAAACACGGAAACCTCAGCCCTTGTTTCTTTTCATTCAGAGACACCACTAAGAAATTTAACTGTATACAAAGTGCAGAAATCACATCTCAGTGGTGTGGGTGGGTGTTTTTTTGGGGTTTTTTTCCCCCCCTCCAATCTTGCATGTAATATGAAGCCAAGCCCATCTATATGGGTTTACAGGTGGCTAGTTTTAACAGCTAAACCATGGATTTTAAAACTGCTCTGCAGCTCAGTACAGGCATCAGTGTTACAGTGACTTGTCCAACACTCCCCATAAAACTCACAACGGGCACTGACTTGCTAACTGGACTCGTGTGGCTACAGGTGCACAACTCCAGGCCATCTGTATAAGCCGAAAAGAGGCCGGTATGGTAGGGCAGGCAGCGCAGCTCTGAACAGCTCTGTCATCACCTGCTGCTCTCCAACAGGAAGCAAAGCACTGCAGAAGCATCCACGTCCTTACGCATGAAAACGAGCCTGCAATTCTAGGATTAAGACCCATGTCTTCTGACAAGGGAGGAAATGACCTTCTACCTCAAAAACAGAAATAGTTGTGGGGGGGGGGGGGGGGGGGGGAAAAGGGGAGCAAAAAAAGTGAGAAGAAAAGATGTACCTACTCTGATATTCTTGGTTATATGCTCAGGATTTGGATTATTGTAACAAAGAACTTCTATGAAATCTTTATACCACAGCCAACCTAACAAGTGGAAAAGACTATCAGAAGGAAAATTTAATTCTATTTACTCTATTGCAGTAAGGGACTAAATTGCTGCTCCTCCATCATTACCAGATCAACTGCTTTCCTCACAGATCTAGTCTTTAAAAATTAAAGTTTTTTCCCTCCCCAAGGCCCTGTGCCACTAGTTTGGCAACACTGGCAAGATTGCTAGGGAGAAACGGACTTTCTACTATACAAGTTCTGACACTTTTCAGAAGCTGTAGTTCCAAAAAAATAATGTTTTTTAACTGTAGTTTTTTTTTTTTAAACTTAAAACAGACACAGTCTTATACCCCATATCCCGCAGATGCTCCCAGGACCCAGTCAGTGAGACCATTTTATTTCAGGATGCTGGGCTACTGTTAGAACTGAACCTATAGTGCATTTTTTATTGCTTATAGACACCTCTACTCTATGATCAAAAGAGCAAGTTAGTAAAAGAGGCTAAAAGAAAGTCCACTAACATCCACATCTTCCCCTTAAAAAAAAGAAAGGGAACGAAAGAAACGGAAGGCAGCTACTGACACAAGAGCATATATCAAGGCTGATCCAAAAATACTTACTCAGCTTTGGGATTTTTCATTTTTAAAACCACTTAGTTCTTAATGGGTTTGCCTCTTGGCTGATACAATTCCATTCCGCCTTTCAGAAGCCCGCACATGCCATTCCCAAGGGTTTCAATGGGAGTGAGGCATGTACAACTGCCAAGAGTAACCCATGGACAAGAAGAACGGGGGGGGGGGGGAGGGAACCCACTTTCTCACAGCTTCAGTGAGTGCTATGGGCTATGTTGCTGCTGTGGATACTAAAATGAGAGGACAGAACAGAACTCAGAGCTCAGGGCTGACTCTGACCCTCGGGATAGACCAGAATATTTAACAAAATCAGCATTGCAATAAACTCAAAAAGCAAATCTTGTTGCATTTTTTGTACGTGCTCCAAGCCGGTTTTCTAGCCTGCTTTAGCAACTACGTTTGACCAAAAGGGAAATGCCACCTTTAAAAATAAAAAAATAAAATAAAATAAAAAATCAGATGACTGAATATAATTTTTTTTACTAGAAAAAGAGTCATAATCCTGCCACACCCACCTTCAGCTCCCAGGGATAAGTCATCTTCAAAGCTTCCTCCATTTCTCACCAGCATGCCTGCAAATGTACAGTTAGCAGTTCAACAACTATAACACTGCAGCGTTTTCTGTTCCACAGCTTAACAAGAGATATTAACAAGACACTTTCAGTCCATACAACAGGATATAACGAGACCATATTTACAAATCCAGCATTACTCATACACTAAAAATGCACTGAAAAGAGAGAAGTTACATTTGACACCATAAAAAATTTAGTTTGCAAGAGAACAAGTACCACACTGCTTTACTTTCCTACTCAGCAATACCACCAGGTCAAACCATGAGCCAATTAATTTTAAGTGTAAACCTGGAGATACTACCTAAGGTACCTGAAGTATAACGTAACAGCAGAAGGAACAAACAACTTACCAGGGAGTTTCGGAGTTAAAAAATGAGTCCAGATCAGGCATTCCCTTCTCTCCCCCTATATCAGGGCAAGCCTTCAAGCGAAGACACCAGACACAGCAAGTAATTTCTCTATGCCATGTCACTAACTGCAAACTCTTGCTGTACTTTGACCTTTAGTAGTCAGTCCCACACAGATAGTAAAATTTTCAGGTGTGGCAACCTGAGTTATTAGACACAGAGACTACCTAGCTCACCTAGCTCAGAAAGAAAATTAGCAAGCTCCCCTTCCTGCTCATTTGGGAGTTTTTATAAGGCTTACTAAACTCTCCAGAAAGACTTCATCAGGAACTATTCGCTCTTATCCAGTTTCTTGGGCACCACCACTTTGCCATGAGAATAACTCGCCAATGCCATCTAGGCTATCATTTGTGCCACTGATAAAGAACTGAAGTCGCAGGTGAAAGCACACAAAAGCACAATTCTCAACAGAAAAAAAGATTTCAGTAGGTAAAGCCTTTCCTTACCCTTCAGTAGAGGATTGCTTTGCTCATCCAGGGAGGCTCCCAGAGGCGTTCTGAAACCACAGAAGAGATTAATGCTAGTTTAAAAACTTGCTGCTTCATGTCCTTCCTTACAGTGTGTAACAGCCTTGCGATAGCAGCAGTTGTCCCTCCGCCCCCAGAAAGTATAAATGTATGCAGACTGGCAATAACTTCCTAAACAATCCCCAGCCCTCTGAACAAATACACTTTGCAGGGGTAAAAAATAAATAAATAAATAAAATAAAAATCAACAAAACAGGTTAATAACTGGAACACTGAGACACAAGCCAATGGCAAAACTTTATACAGAGTCATTGGGCCTCTGTTAAAGAAAATCACGGAGCTCTGAGCAAACCACCTAGTAAAAATGAATAGGAATGCTTGAAATTGATTAATTCAAACTCATTTATACACCAAAAGCCGTCATCATTTTTCTCCAAATCTAAAAATTCTTAGCATTAAGGTACTTCAGGCTTTGGAAAGAGGGGACAAAAAGCTCTATTTGCCGATCAGAAACTAGATAAAAATCTATAAAATGCCAGAACTGGCAAGTGATAGCTAACATAGCTGTAAAGATTCTTTACGTTAGCTCTTACTTGGATGATCTCTCTTAGTACCACTCCTTGAAAGGTAGTGGATTGCTGCCTTTGTGTTGCGTCTGAAATCAGCAGCAGAGCCTGCACCAATGACAGGCCCAATCCCTTTCGGTGTTCACATTAAATTTGTTGACATTAACTGAGTATTTCTATATCTTGTCTCTCAGAGACATGTTTAACCAAAGAGCAGTCACCGCTAAGTGCTGCGGCATAACTCTCAAAGCCCAAAATAAATTCAGAAATATAATACTCAAAGAAGGGGAAAGTGGATGATTTATGTGCATATATTATGTATGTTTCATTTAGGGTTTTAATTAAACAAACATATAAACCTGCCCAAAGAACTTGTAAAAGTAAACAGTGCTCTGATATAGTATTTGTTTTGGTGCCATGGCCAAATTAAGCAGCAGAAGTTTGCATCTGCTTTGTAACAGGCCTTATATTTTACAATTTTTCCCCCCGCCCTCCGAAAATAGTTCACTGTTACCACACAGAGCCTGCTGACTTGGAACAAGCTAACTTTGACAACAAGTAAGTTAAAAGCAAAGGAAAAAAAATACATGCTGTAGTGAGACGACAGACAACTCAAATAGCAAGAGCATCCAGGCACATGAATAGGTTCCAGGTGACAGAAAAAACTCTGGAGAGACTCAGGTCTCTCAGATCTCTGTGCATCTTTCATTTCAGGGTTTTAAACAAGTTAGGGTATATTGTCTAAATTTTTCACGCTACAACAAGCCTTATGTTCTGAGGTAATAACTATGCCTACTGTTTACTCACTGGCTTTGATGGGTACATTCCTATTCTCCCATTCCTTCCCTGGTGGCTATTTCCCTCTTACTTTTTTGATACAGAAACTTGCAGGCAGTGACTTTGACAGCCAAGTCCAGTGCTGCCTGCAGCGACTGGCAAGGAACAGTAAAAGCAAGCACTGAAGCTGGCATTTTCTCTCAGAAACAAAGTCTGTCACCTCTACAGCACGTTAGTAGCTACCAGAAAAGAAGCTCTGTCAACTGTCCATCTGCTTCTGCACCCATACACAACTGTTTTTCAAGCCCTTCTATTGAAAAACTTGCATTTAAGAACTAGAGACCATGTAAGTGTAAATAAGAGAGAAATAGCTATACAAAAATACCTCTTGGATAACAGCACACAACGGTTTTACCTTTCTGTATAAGACTATTTTTCAATGGCAAGGTCCACCAGCCAACTTACAGAGGTTTATCTCAGCACACCCTCACACATTTAGGAAGCTTACGATGCGGAGACCTCTTGCATTTAAGAACTAGAGACCATGTAAGTGTAAATAAGAGAGAAATAGCTATACAAAAATACCTCTTGGATAACAGCACACAACGGTTTTACCTTTCTGTATAAGACTATTTTTCAATGGCAAGGTCCACCAGCCAACTTACAGAGGTTTATCTCAGCACACCCTCACACATTTAGGAAGCTTACGATGCGGAGACCTCTCATTCTGTGTCGTGCTCAAGCAAACGGCAGGGCGCTGGGGAGCTACGGTAGGTTGTCCAGCGGGTCTGACAGCCTGCATGAAGTGTGTCGGGCAAAACAGAGCAGGGACGCCTGGAACGTCACAGAAATCAGAGACTAGCTGCACAAAGTAAGTTGGCCTGCACTTGAATCAAGGAAGCCTACAATTTTTCATTTATACTCTCACACAGGTGATTCCTTTATTTATTGTTGTATTTTAACATATATGGTAATAATTTGTTCGATATCAGCGTTCAAAAGAACAGAAAGAGTCTTCCCTGCCCACAGCCCACATCACCACGGGACCTGGGTACCAACCAGGCAATAGGACTATATGCAGGGTCCGCTGTGAGCTTCAAGGATTTCTCTCATCCCAGAGGTTTGCTTGGCTATCAGTTGTGGTAAGATGTCTTCAGAAACAGGACAACGATTTTGCACTGTGCTGTAAAGGCAGTTTAAACCTCTGCTTTTAAATTCTGAACTGGGCAGGAGAAGTGTTTATTTTAAACTTGAAGCAAAAAAAATAATCTCTTCTTTCTGAGGCATTTCAAGAACTCATTTCCTGCATACTCTACAGGAGATAGTTCCTAAATACCTCCAACACTGCCTGTATTGCTGGGAGAGTTCAAATATACTGAATTAAAATAATACATGCCACCCCAGAACTGACAAGAAAAATTTCTCATTTTTGGTCTGTATTATACAAAACACTTATTTCCTAGGTTAGCCTTACAGAAGTTAAAACTAAAAACCTCTGTAAAGCTTTCTTATTACTTCAAAAAGCTTTTCAAAAATACGAGGGAGGGAGGGAGAAAAGAATGCCATCCCCAAAAGGATGGCATTTCCAAAAGATGAATGAAGCAGAAGCTTTGGGCAATATCAGATATTTCCTTCGCCTCTACGATTCTCATTTTTAGTGGCAGCATACTTGTTTTCTGTTGCCTTTTTTTTTTAAATACATCTCTTATCAAATTAAATAGTATGGGGTTATTAGGAACTGTCCTCTCTCCTGCAAAGCACATGTGCAATAGAGCAGTCTTTTTTTACAGCAGTTTGGGGCTGTAATTGCTTAAGATCTCTACTAAGATCTCTACTACTGTCTTTTTTTCCTCCAGATTACAATACTGTTGATGCTTTTGGAAACAAACAAGGAAATAAATCTTATAAGCAGATCTGTTATGCAGCGGGTTAATACTAAGTTTTTTGCGCTACTGTCAACTCAAAATAAAATATGAGATTTAAAGGGTGCAAATTGTCTTCCAGTGTACATTTCACAAAAGCTTATGCAAATTAGATAAAATGGGAATGATCATTTTTTAGAAAAATCTAATAAAGAAAATGCTTCATTTTAGTAACTGAACAGTCATTTCTAGTAAGGGTTACAGAGTAACTCACCAGAATCTGGTTGTGTAATGGACCAGAAACAGAAGATCAAGTCTGCATACATCATTGCCTATACTTTTGCAGCCACCAAAACTCCACAGGAAAAATCACAGCATAATTAAAGAAATAATAATTCTCAGGGAAGACAATAGCTAAAAGTTTGCACAGTGACTGTTCTTTTTAACTGCCATTTTTAAACAATGCAATGCAACATCCTTAGGATTGCTCTGTCATTTTTTGCAGCGCCCTCTCTTCCTACATACATCGTTAGCACGAGACAATCAGTTCAGCACGTTCCTTCTGATTTACAGAGTCACTTTCTAACAGTGCAAACTGAACAATCATCTCATATACTAGCTACTGCTCACACATATATAAACACATACAAATTCAACTACTTTGCATTTTTAAAGGACAACGGACTGTGCACTACTTCAAGCAGCTGAGACCTTACCTCCTCCAGATATCAACAGTATATGCATGGACTCGGTATGATACAGAGTCAGAGGCTAACTCAAGCTTGAATTGCATATTGATGCTGGCCAGCCCCAGGGTGGAACACCACAACATTTAACACTACATTGTATTTAATTTTTTTCCCTTGGGTACATTAAATTAAAATAATGTCATTAAAGTAAAATCTAAGAGAACTTAAAAAAAAAAAAAGGCCAATTTTATCCTTCTTAGGATAACACAAGATTCTTCTGAAAATACCTACAAGAGCGCAGCTATACTTTAAAAGACTTCTACAGAAGGGCCACAAAGGGCTTTACATCTTTTAACTAAAGCTTGCATCTCTGTCTTGGCAAAATGGTAACTGGTGTTTTATTTTCTCATGTGTAAAATAAGGGAAATAGAGTGTGAAATAAGATTCCCTTATTTTGTGAATCAACTGCAAACACATTCCACAGAAGCATTCAGTGACAGATTTAACAACAGATAGTTACTGAAGTGCATGAATAAAACTGCAGGCTTTGGATTATTATTTAAGATGCGCGTTAACTACGCATGTTGTCAATCTGTAGTTGCGTGCCATTCCTTTAACTCTGTACAAAAATGGCAAGGATGACAGGGCCAGGGAACATTCTAGACAAAAATCCTGCAGATACACAGAAAAGCGACACAGCAGCATTAGGACGAACCTCTCCGCAGGGGCCTCTTCCCCTTCTCCCTTTTTCCCCTCCCCACTCAAAAACACAAACTTCTAATAAAGCACCAAACCTATAACACTTACATTTAAGGATAAACTTTGCTAGACTAACAGGACACCAGATTTCAAGTAAATTTGGAAAGATCTTTACTCATTTTGGCATCCTGGAAGAACAGGCTATGCCATGTTTTGGGGATACAGGCGGATTTCAAGCCTCTTGCCGCCAACTCTTTCCTCCCCCGCCCCCCAAAAATCAAAGACTGCACCGATTATGAAGAAAACCCTATGATAAGCTATAGGTGGCTACAAAGCAGTCCACGCTCGCTCCAGACCCTGAGGGAAGCTCAGCTCAGCCACTCACTGGATCAAAAGGTCACAAAGGCACAGCTAATCTTAGAGGTAAATTTTCATCTTAAAGTAGCTGCTCTCAAAAGGAGTAGGAAACAGAAACACCAAGCAGGGGAGGTCCTGCCATTTCGCTAACTACTGGAAAGCTGATCGTTAGCTTCCTCCCTCTGAAGCTCCCTCCAAGGTGTGCTATGTGGAAAAGCAAAAAAAAAAAAAAAAAAAGAGAGAGGCCAGAAGCAGTTGTGACTGGATGTAGCACTCCCGCTCTTACACGACTGAGGATGAAAGGAAAAGTAACACAGTCAGCCTGTCCCAAACACCGGCGGAGTATTTTGCAACGGCGGCAGAACTGCAGCGTACGCATCACAACCCGCGTTAAGGAAGTCCGTCGTGAGGGCAGGAAAAAATCCGGCAGGCTGGGGCAAACCACGCGGGCCTGCCCGCCCTCGCCTCTAGGCCTGCAGCCGACACGGCG